GAAGTACCGTATTAAGTTTAAAATAATTGATATGCTAGACGTTGCCCCTCCCCCACGATAGATGTTCGATTTCAGAAAACCCCTCCACGCACGGATTTAGGATTTTTTCCCGGGGGGGGGGGGGTCCACTCCAGTAAAAAAAACAACAACCCAGAAACTTGTTGAAAAGGGGAAAAAAACCTTACCTGGCTGAAACGTGAAAATCCCATTGAAAGGGGGGGGGGGGGGGGTAGTCGTTGACGTCCAAATCTTCTTCATACCTATTTTATTTATACTTATGACTTTTCATACCAACTTAACCTTATCCAAGTTTTAAAGGAAGTCTGCGTTTTCTAGGGGGGGGGGGTCCAAGGTAACTTTTTACTTGGTTTAGTATATAAATTTAGTAGCTCTGCTAATAGATGTGTGCTTACATAACGCTAACATACTTAATATTTTTGTTCCCCGCTTTCACAAAGTGGGGGATATTAAATTTGGTCTGTCTGTCCGTCCGTCAGTTCGTCTGCCTTCCGTCCGTCCGTCTTTGTGTAACACTTTCGTTTCCGTGTGATTTCTCGAGAGGCCTTTGAGCATTTCCAGTGAAAGAAGATGGGCGAATAAGGCGCAAAGATTGCATGTACAAGTAGTTTCAGATATTTAAAAAAACGTATTGGTTTTGTGAATTGAGTTTTTAAAGTTAAGTTCTCATTATTGAAATTTATGAAATTATGATAAACAAAACTTTTCTGAGAAAAAAAATCTGTGAAAAGTATTCTTTTATTAAAAAAATATGGTATTCGTAGAATTCGAACCAAAAATGATACGGTATTCGTAGAATTCGAACCAGCAGTAATAAACGGTACAGTGGATCCTTGCTCAATGTTTTTGTAAACCAACAAATGTATATTTTTATGCAAACTTTTAGGATAACTTTCAAAAAATGGATCGAGGACCCACTCATGTAGAAATTTTTTGTCTGAATATAAGAAAATGATCTTTTTTGTCCCCTTTAGCGTGTATGTATGCTATTTCATAGGCAGATAATCCCAGACATGATGAGATTTTTGTAGATTGTAGAGATTTTACATCAAGTATCCTTTAATGTTAGATGAACTATCAAAGAAAATTTTAACATTATCGAGATTTCATTTTCACTTCATGTTTGTCACACCTAGGTCATCTTTAAAAAATTGTCTCCCGACCGACTGAGTAGAAATGGCCCGACGCAAAAACTTTCATTTTCACATTCAGGATACATTTTTTTGTTGCCTTCTTATTCCTTCAACAAAAATATTGAAATTTTCTGAAAGATTTTCCCACCTACCTACCGACCCAATAATTTCTACCTCAGTCTGGAGAGGGCAAGCAAACATTTTAAAGGTGGGCTTGTATGTAATTCTGAGGTTGACAGCTAAAATCAGGCCTGCAGTTATATATTTAATCCCCAATAGATTATTGAAAGTTAAAATAATTTAAATATGATTATCATTTTTTACTTGGCTGGGAGATTTTTTTTCCTTCTGTTTTTTTTTGTTTGGCTTTTTGGAGAGAGAGATGGGGGGTTGCATTCAATAAGATGGTTATACAATGTAAGAATGTAAGGAAGGAAGGGGGGTGCTAGGTTGTTGTTGTTATCTTGTATTTTCCCCCGTTGACATCGGAGCACCCTGTAAGAACAGGTAGATTTCTCAAGATTGTTTAAGAATGTCATAATCGGAGTAGTGTCTATAATCGAGATATGTTCACTGCCCTACTGTTGTGAATATCAAATAGTAGGTTCCTGCTTATCTCTTCGATATCACTTGTTATCACACTGTTTTTTCCAAGAATGTCCAAGATCTCAGTCTTAGTAGGGCTGTGTCTCAATAATTTTGCTGATCAATATAAAGAATACAACATGCACTAAAAGTATAATTATGCTTGCCCCCCCCCCCCCCCCCCCCCTAAATAATAACATTTAATGACTTTTTAAATTTTTTTTTTTTTGCTTGTCAACGAAATTTGAATTTTAACATGACAAGGAACCATATCCTTAATTCAGAAAACAATAATTAAGTACTAGTACATGAATTTATTTTATGACATAAATAATACACATATATTGCATTTTTACTTTAATTTTACAAAGAGTAATTGAAAAACAGAAATTAAACAAAAATGGTTACCCTAAGACCAAACACAAATAGATCTATTATGCGTAACAAAATGTTGTCCCCCTTTTTTATTCCACATTATATAAAGAATCCTTTTACCTGGATAAAAAAAATATATTAATACAATTAATAGTATCCATTAACAAAACTAATCTGTGAAAGAAATACCTAAATACTGGCAATACCATTCTAAGCAATATAAATAATGCTGCATTATCTTGCATATCTGTAAGTAACATGTTGATGGGTTATACAATGAAGACTAAAAAAGGAACAATAAAGAAATTAACACTGATTCACACACGTTTGCAAAGGTCATGTCAGAAACTTTCTGTTGATTATATATTCTTGGTTTGGAGGGAGGAGTGAAACGGAAACAACCACAGATTAAGTTATACTTACATGGGCAAAGAAACATGCATAAATGAACTTCAAGTCCTCAGAGGAAAAAATGCAGAATTTTAATTTTTTCAAATTATGAAAGTATTTTGTGTGCCCTTTTAAAAAACCATTTTCCCAAAATTACAATAATTTATACACTTGTTAAAAGAATAGAAAACATGCATATACAAGTTAGAAAGACAAAGAAATCTTAACAACTGATTTCCACCTTCAGTGGAATAGAGATTTTACAACTTTATACATATAATATTTAAAATTTTCATTATTTGAAAAAGTGGTTTTGATTTGTGATGAAGAATATCCTACATTTTTACATGATCTTTAGAAAGACTGATTGCACTTTCTCTACAATAAAAATGTGCTAGTTCTTGTAATGGTCCAAATTAACAACACTCACCTAAAAACCTTGGCTAGAAAATTTTGAACACTTTAAACATCCTAGTGCCCCCTCTCCCGTATAGGGAAGGGGTATTGATTTGAACTATATACTAACTAGGGATGCTACCATTTAAATTCGTCTAATCATTGTATTGCTGCCGTTAAGAATAAGATTTTTCCCCTATGTATTTCTAAGTAAAGCTTTGATCAACTATAGTGACCCTGTCTTTTCATGGATCATGATTTGAAAAAATCAATACATGAGTCTGCACTATGCATAAAGCTTTTACAAATATGCTTCATCTTTTCTTTTCTTTAGAAGAAGTCAAATGTGAAGAAAAAAATTACAAACAACAATACACTGTACTATAGACAAACACAGGACATCTTTTGGTTAGAAAAGCTAATAAATTTGTGTCTTGGGTTGATGGATGAGCTAATAAAAATAATTAAAAAAAATACCAGATAATAAATTAGGGGAGGGAGTGTTATACTTGTACAAAATTGAAAAAAAAGATTTGAAAAATTCTCCCAAAAATATAATCAATGTTTTTCTTTCTATTTCAACTCAAAGACAAAGTTGATGAATGGACAAATAAATATTTATTCATTGGTAAATTTGCAATCTTAAAAAAAAAAAAAATTCTAAATATGACTTGTCAACAATCTACAAATGTATACAGCTTGTCCCAATAAAACCCTTAAGATATACATAAAGTGTGTAAATATATTTTGGAGTTATTCTACTTTATAATCATTTGTTTCTAATCACAATGTATCTTGTTCATAGAGGCAGAAGTATATGTTGATTATAAAAAAAAATACATATATAAGTATATACCGGTATGCTATATATCTACCAGTACATGAACAATATCTATATATAAGAACAAAATCACAAATATAAAGAATTTAAAACAAAATGATGCACACAATGCTACATATGTATATGTATTTCCAGCACAAATGCTAAAGGCACACAGAAAATGAAAGACAAGGGGGAAATGATATTAAAACAAAAAAAAATAAAAATTTTATCTAAATATAGACATTCTAATGAATAATCACAACTAGCATTCATTCATATTCTCAATTTTCAAACATATGATAAGTATACATGAATTGTGCAACACCTGCACATTGGTGTAAATAAAATAGTTTCTCTGTTCATCCGCAGTACATTAGATCAAATATAATTTAATGTATTAGTGGTTTAAATAATCCTTTAAATAATTAATAAGCATACTGTGGAATCATTCAATTTTATGTTGACTCATATTTTTGTGGAATTCATGGGTATCCCATCCCTATGAAATAACATCCTCCAAGAATCAATAAATTCAGGTTTTGGAGTAATTTTCCTTTCATAGGTATGAGTGAATACACAAAATTACATCTCTAGGAACCTAGAAATTAAACAATCCACCAAAATTGTCTCTCATGAATTTGAATGATTCCTCAGTAGATATGTTTTATGAAATACCTTTTAACTATAATTTGTGTCAGTTAAACAACAAATTACTCTGATATCTTCACATAAAAATTATAAATGATAGTCAATGGAAAATGCAATAAACATACATCAAGTATCAATGATTCAATCTTACTTATAAACATCCTTACTACACAAAATACAAAGAAACTGGGTAGTGGGTATTACATACATAATTAACTATTCACTGAAAAATATACATACTCTTTTAAGTTTTGATTACATTTCATTTGCATCCTCAAAACAACAATGTACCATATATACTCACCTATAATTCAGGTTTTGGGGAGTTAAATTTTGGACCAAAACTCTATGTCCAACTTATGATGGAGAAATAAAAAGGCTGGCAATTTTCTGTATGGCGAAATGTAGTAGTTTTTAAACATTTCCAACAATTATTCTAATAAAAAGACTGGATATATATTAACATTTATGTATTCTATGATAAAATGCAAAGTACAAGTATTTGCATATTTTAATACTCTTATTTTTTATCTTCAGTGTGCATTACTTTTTTCATGATTTAAAATTAAATATTGGCATAAATTTCTTAAAATATTATTTGAAACCACGAGGTTAAAACTTTGCCCGATTTGATATTGTCAACCAATTCTGGCAAAAGGTTGTACAGATTTATAAGCAAGCGAATGGCAAATTCCTCCAAAATATCCTTTAAAAATACAACTGACTTAAAGGCAGACTGACTTATAGGTGAGTATATACAGAAAATAATTTGCATAAAAATAAGTAAGAAAATTCAAGAATGTTATTGAATTATATCTATCTTTCTGTGTCTCAGAGTTGTCTCTATGAATTGAAATAGCAAGGGGCATTAATAAGGTAGACAGGGGATTAGGGTTCCTTCCCTGACAGGTAGTTAGGGGGGAATATCAGATGTCATTAAAGGCAGAGAAATCCACCCCCCCAGGTCTTAGAGACAACCCTATTATGGATACTGTCTAGCAATGATTTAGATTTTCTGATGTTAATCTTATCTGAGAACATTTCTTTCATTTTAATATGTCATATTGTCTATTAGACTTGAATAATACTCTAAACTTAACATACAATTCTAGCTACATGTACCATATGTTTCTACAATCTATGAACAAATTTTGGTTATCTGAACACCTTGTATTTGGAAAGTCGGCAGGTGGTGGATCAAGAAGTGAAGAGAAGTGGAGCCATTCCTATTAAACACCCTAGAGATATTCCTATTACTCTCCCCTGTAAATAAACAAGAACCTATAGCAATATGGAAGAAAAAAAATGTAATACTCAGGTAAATGAATGATCTTACTTGTACTTTTTAAATACTATTGCATCTACAGACACCAGACATAAGCTGCATTGATTAGTAAAGCATTATTAATTTTTGCTCATACCATATATCATTTAGCTAAGTAATATTAAATTTCAACTGAATGAGAAGTGGAAAAACCAAGATTTTTATTCAAAAAACCAATACATTAAAGATTTACACCTTTCATTCAGGTAGTATTAGACAATAGGCATTATGCTTAATACCCAGGTCTCTGTACCCTGTTCAGCTTTAATTGAAATTTCATTGCATAATTTATACATCATGAGAAAAGTCACTGTGATATTTGTTGCCTTATCTAGATTCTGAACTGGAGAAAATGTCATTAATTATGTAAAATGTCAATGAAAGGCAATACGTCTGGAAAAGGGAAAATAACTCTTTATTTCTTTGTTAGTTTTAACTGGTGTCCAGTCAACTCGTACACAGACCGAGTCGTACACGAACTGAGTCGTACACAAAAAGTCAACTCGTATACAAATCAGAAGTCAACTCGTATACAAATCAGAAGTCAACTCGTATACAAATCAGAAGTCAACTCGTATACAAATCAGAAGTCAACTCGTATACAAATCAGAAGTCAACTCGTATACAAATCAGAAGTCAACTCGTATACAAATCAGAAGTCAACTCGTACACAACGTTTTATTTACAATGTTAGGAACTTTTTTTCTATGAATAATGTAGAATGTAAAAAAATAAAATGAGGATGAAGAGAAGTGTTAATTTTTTTTTAAATTGTTTCATAAATACTTAAATAATGGTAATAACTTTTCTTTTTACATCTAAGGAATTCAAACAATCATTGTTAAACCAACACAAGTGCGGCGGTTTCTTGGATCTGCGACAAACACTAATTACAATATGCTCCTAATTTGGTCCAAATTTCTCCCTTCTTTGAACTTCACCATGGTGCGATCAAGAGATGTGATTATCCTGCAGTAAAACTAAAATTTTTGAAAACCTTTAAAATAAATTTGACAAGTTTTGTCAGTTTTTATGGAAATTGTAATGTAATGATACGATATACCATTAAAATCTTACGATGTTGTGGTGGTCCTGGAGGTATTGGGCACAAATTGCCCTCCTACCTCCGATCACATGGTATACGTCACAGCACCTGTTGTAACGTATACCTATCCTCGCTTTTTTGTGTTACAAGCTGCAGAGAACAGACATGTCTCTGTTAGCTCCGTCATTATTGTATTCTATATATTATAACTGTGGGCACTAATAAATAGCGGATCATTTTATCATAGTGTGTTCTCTATTCCGCCATCACTGTACTCGGGTATAATATAGAGAAACGCTATAATGTGTTTCCATTGCATTTACTATCTACACGATATAAATAGATTCGTTATGGTGCCATAAAATTTCTAACTTTCTAAATTTATTATATTTATATCTATATATTACTTAAAATTGCATGAAAGAAGACTATTTTTAAAATGTAAAATTTTCGAATTACAATTAGATGTAGTGATGTTTAAAAATTAGAAATTCATTTTAATCATATTGATTATGTTGTTTAAGATATAAAATAAAATCCACAGAATAATAAAAAATGGACTTAGCTCATTTATGTATCAAATTTCGGTAAATATTCATAAAACAAAAATATGTTCAAGTTGACACCTCAGATCTAATTATGGGAAATTCAGAATCTTGTGGGGAAAAAATCCATCTGCACATATGGTATAGGTAAATTCAGAGGCATAACTTAGATTGAAATGTACAAGAAAATCTTTGTGTACGAGTTGACTCCTCAATTTTTGTACACTGAGAAAAATTATACCTTAAATCACATAGGAAAACCTATGTACGAATGATATTAGTTTGTGTACGAGTTGACTTCAGATTTGTGTACGAGCTGACTTTTTGTGTACGAGTCGGTTTGTGTACGACTCAGTTTGTGTACGAGTTGACTGTAAATCTTTTAACTAAATCAAATACACAAGTTTTGCATTAAACAGAAATCATTTTAATATAAATACAAGATAATGAAATGAACTACATATGATATACACTATATTTCTCTACTTACTGAAGCCATGACAATCTTTGTCTTCCTCATTTCCAGCTGAGAGCTGGTGAGAACTGGCATGTGGATACCAAATCTTCTACAGACACTCTCCACTCTTACTGCCAACCTAAACAATATACATATACATAAATGTGTCTAGTATATAAATCAATCAGTGAATTAATTCATAACTATCTTAAATTTAAGTAAGGCTATCTATTTAAATGATATATGGGCCTACTGCATTAGATTCAATGTACTAGTTGACACAGTCTAAAATAAAAAACAAACATCTATTTAAAAAAAAATGTAGATTTTTTTCCATCATAGAAAAGAAAATTGATTGTAACATGCTGCTGTTGAAAGCTAAGTGATTCTGTCTTCTTCTCAAAACATTGTATTCCTATATACTGTAAACCAATTTTTATTCGCGACGACTTTATTTCGCGATTTTGCGAGGATAAACTAGTTCATGACGATTAAAATTCGCGATTGATCAAGCCTGTTATTTATTTGTTGTTAATAGACACATAGACTGTACGAATCGGTTCGCGGCGAGAAATATTCGCGATGATAAATCTGGTACAAAACTCGCGGAAATTTCTCGCACGCGAATAAAAGTTGCTTTACAGTAGGAGTCATGGAAACAAAATTTAGTGGTTTACAATAATGGTGAGAATTCTTTTAAGGTAGATATTGATCTATGTTTGCTGTAAACCCTTGTCATACATACAGAGGTGAGACTTTTATAAGAAGAAAACAACATACCACATTCCACAAACATCAGAGACTAGATTTCCAAGAGCAGCAGCTGAAACATACAAACTCAGGATGAAGCCTACTAAATATTAGGTTACCAGGTACTTAAATATCGTGTATCAGAGTTGGTCATTTAATACATGTTCTACATCTTATTTGTTTTTATTTGTTATCCTCTGCACAGAAAGATGAGATAGGACCATGGATAGGAAGCTCAGTGGTTAGAGCATCTGACTAGTAATACAGGGTTCCCTGAATTAAATTCCCTGTCAAGCTATTTATTTCCTTTATTTATTCCTAAACTTTTCTACTACAAGACAATGTTTAACTTCCCGGATCATAGTTAATGTCATATAAAAGATGTTTTCGTTGACAAAAAAAAATATAGAACATTTATTATCCAAAGGCATTAATCTGCCTGTCCATGAGGAATATGAATCATTTTACATGTATTTAGACAGTTCTATAGAATAAAACGTACATAAATGATTTATCAGTTTTCTTTACCTGCCATGGTAGATATATGCAACAACTGGCCAAATTCATACTCTATGAGATCCCCCTGTAAAAACATTGAAGTGTTTTACTTCAATACTGTAAATCATTCTACTTAATATAGAGTCTTATGGTAAGTGCTAAATACTAGTACATGTATAACCATTTATGTTCAAAGTATGTCTCTGTATTACATTTTATTGTACAAGGTAATTTGATAAAGTCTATAAATCACTTGCTGTTCATTGCAAGAAAAGATACATATACAGATCACTTACAGCTAAAATCATGATGCAGTTGTCAAAGAAACCAAAGCCTATAAATGGCCAAAACCCACACTGGAATGCTGAAAAACATGTAAAATCAACTTTTAAATTCTGCACCTGAGTTGTAAAAAAAATTACATAGCACTATAGCTGAAATGTATTGAAAAAATTAAAATATCCTGTGGAAAATTCAGAGAGAGTAGAATCTGGTTATTCAAAAATTGGTTGATAAAACTCTGACCCCAGTGTCAAAAATGAGTTAAACAATAATCAAAGAAAGAGTCACGGCATATTAAAATAAATGATAAAGTACAATTTTAACCATTTTACCTGTTAAAAGCTGACCAGTTGTTGGAGGAATCGGACCTATAACGAGAAAACATTTACATTATGGTGCGAAATATAGGCCTATTCTACGAAAACACGTGGATTTGTTTACATCAGAAACCACGCCCCTTAATTAACTGACCTTGAGTATTCTCCGTCTGTTCTATCGTTTTCTTGAGTTCCTCGTATAAAAGTTGACGTTCGGTTGGTAAAAGAGTATAAGTAAAGTCCTTGGCAGTTGCTTCATCACTGATCTTTCCCAGAACAGGTCTGTTGCTCATGTACACGTGGGACTGTTTATTGGCAATCCACGTCCGCGCTGACCTTATTACTAAATAACTACTCACTCGAGGTTTATACACAAAACTCAACGTCTCTAAGAGTTTTCTCGACATATTCCCACTGTAATAAAGTAAAAAGCAAAGAGAAAATAAATCACTTTTACGATATTTCTTGGTGTCAAGAAATCGACGTCATCCTCGCCGAAATATTTAAAATTAGTTAACTTGTACAATAAACGTTTCGGAAATAAGTAATCTGATCAATGGCGTATTATAAGTTAGTAAAATACGTCCCTGATTAAGACGAAGAATCAATAGAATTTGCGTTAAATATCTTAAACACTTTCAGGGTAACACAATGCACTCGCTTTCCCTCGTCTGGTTTATTATCAACAGATTGCTTATATTACTGCGTTCTATCTTTATCACTGATGTGACATTGATTTTTTTTGTTCTCTGACTGCATAGGCCTAACTGTTAAAACAAGGGTTTTTCAAGGCTGCATCGTTATTCGAAGAACCGCTTTCTTTACTCGATAACTGACGTGGTATTTTACCCAATACACTGCTATGGATAGCTTTTTCAAGTATTTAACATTGGAAACAAGATTGAGATTGCCTATCACTGACTTTAGTCGAGTTCTCTGTATGCATCACAGTTTTTGATCAAAGAGAATAGATAATTCTCAGAGATAATCCATACATAGTAACATATTGCTAAACATAGCTTATCTCAAAGAGATGCATGTGATCAGAGAGGTTTATTTTTAAATCATTTCAGTAATCATTGTCAAAGCCTTATATTTTTCCTTCCTGCAAAGTCCATCTCTAAGATGATAGCCAAGATATCTGTTCGTCGGTTTCATTGGCCACTCATTTTTCAACGAAAGTTGAACAATAGGACGTCCTAAAAAGAAGAATTTTTAAAAATTGCTTCACTGTTCATAAAACGGCAAAAAAAAATTCTTGACGTTTTCCCGCTAAAAAAGTTAGTGAGTCACGTGATGTATGTTTAGCTTCCTATATCATGTGACTATCAAAATGGTGGACATGAGAAGTGTGTTGTGCCTAGCGTTTTCTCTTGCCTTGGCACTGGCAGGACCAACTCCTGTAGTTCTTTGGCATGGGATGGGTAATGGTTTTAAAGTCGTTGTACTGCACATGAAATTAGATGAAATGAAGAGAACTGTGCATGTATTTATTTTCGATGCAATATGAACTTCGCAGAAAGTAGCATATACCAGCAGGTCCAGTCCAAAGACTATTTCTACCTACGTAGCTATTAATAGCTACCTAGGTATTTAAAGCTACCCAAAGTAGCTATTTTTACCTACTTTTTATAATTTCTGCATTTTGCGGCACAAAGAGCAAACGGCGCAACATGGTGAATACCATATCTCTTGATACAGTCACACTAAAGATGAATACGACAAAATTTTGGCCAAAAAATGATTACTTCCCGAATCGGGAATTTTACATTAGTTTCTATGCAAAATTGATAATATATAAAGTAATCTTTTTTCAGCAAAATTTTTTTCATATCCATCATCAGTGTGACTGTATCAAGAAATTTTGTGCTCACCATGTTGCGCCGTTCCTGCATTTGGCCACAAAATGCAAGTAAAGCAGAAAGTAGGTAAAAATAGCTACTTTGGGTAGCTTTAAATACCTAGGTAGGTATTAATAGCTACGTAGGTAGAAATAGTCTTTAGACTGGACCTGACCAGGTCCAGGAAAATCACTATATTTAGCTATATAGCTTTATTTACCTATATAGCTTTATTTACCTATAAAATATAGCTTAATTTAGCTATTTTGGAATAAGTTTCTGTTTTATGAAAAGCAGACAAAAAGTCGCATGTAAATTATGGCTGATATTATTTTTTAAAGGTTTGATAAAAACAACCTAGAGCAAAGATAGTAAAAACTTTGCCTCTTTTAAACACTTTTTAACCAAAAATGCATCTCTATTGTTTGGATAGCTGGAAGTACGGTGAGGCATGACTAAGTGTGATTGCCTTGCATTGTGCTCAGTTATTATACTAATCAATTATCTTGTTAAACAAAACTGCTTTTCTTTGTTCAAGTAGCTGCTTACTCACAGATTAACTGTTATACATAGCCCCAAAACTTTTAGATCTTTGATTGCAATTGCACTAAAGGAGAAACGTTTTTTTAAGTGGGATTTTGGTGAACTGTTTTCAGTCCATTTCAAAGTTGAAAACTAATCTTGCCTCATTATGCGACTTTTTGCCTGCTTTTCATAAAACAGAAATTTACTCCGAAATAGCTAAATAAAGCTATATTATATAGGTAAATAAAGCTATATAGGTAGATTTAGCTATATAGCTAAATATAGTGATTTTCCTGGACCTGTATACGTAATAGGCTACATGTACTGGACTATGTCCCTTCCCTCCCCACAAATTTATCATTAAAAAAAGAAAGAAATCTCAGCAAACCCTGAAAAACAGCAAAATGTTCACCCCTTTCACTGGATGTGATGAATCATTGATTGTCAATGAAAACCTCTATATTTTTGTTTTCTCAAAAAAAAAATGTTGTGTTGAACTACAGTACATCCTCAGAGAAAAAAAAATTGCAAGTGCAATGGAAAAGAAAAACTAGAATGACTGTATTTTAAATGTTGCATATAATATATATGTTATATTATCTATTATTATAATTTCTAGCAAATCAGTTCAGCAACCTTTAATGAATAATGCCAGGGTTCGACATTCGCGCTCGTCACCTCGTCATTTCCATCCAGAAATGATTTCGGACGACTTGATTTTCAGTCTGGCTCGCCCAAATGACGACCTGGGACAAGTTGGGAATGTTTAATAATGATGTTTAATATTTTAAAATAAACTTCGTAAGGCCATGAATACATATTTTTCTGTAACAAAACCAACCCATTCAACATGTTCTAATTGCAGCCGCTTAAATTTTTCTTCGTGCAAAATCTGCGTTCGATCAATCAGCTGATGCAATTTTTACCAAAAGTCTTGAATAAAGTTTTATTTGAGATATAAAATATGTCAACTTAGTGACAACAATCACCTTAAATATAAAGAGTAATAATCATCATTGTAACATCTTGCATTTCCCCTACAACTTTCTGATCATCTGATGATCATTTTCTGAGCACTGCTAGACAGCCATGTTGGGTGTCCACTGTAATATAACACCTAGTTAATTCAGTCCAGGATTATTTGACCCCATAAATTTATATAGGCCTTCATGGTAAGTTAAAATGAATGTTTTAAACTACAAACTTTAGCACTCGATCTGCATGTCAGATTCAGCTTATATTTTTGTTTGATAAAATACTAGAAAACATCTTGACATTCCAAATAATGTCTGAATTACATTTTTTCATACTGTAAAATTACAGCTTCTGTTAATTATCTTAACAAATTTTAAACAATTGCACATTAAGTTTTGTTTCATTTGATATTTTATTTGGACGACCTGAAATTCATTCAGGCAACCTGTGATCATACCAAGGTTGCCCAAATGGCGAGACCAAATTTTGACGAGTGTCGGACCCTGTAATGCCCATATGAGATGGAACGTTCTATCGTTAAAATGATATTGTCCTACGGACCCGGTTTAACGATAGAATTCGTTCCATGTATTTGTAATGTAGCAAAAGAAAGGTGGGCGATAACTCGTACTCACTATAACTCAGTGCATTTACTAAGAACAATCTAGAGAGTTCCGAATGTAAACATGGCAGGTAAATTTGAAGCGATAGAAAAACGTTGAGAAAATTAATTGGATTTTCGTCTTTAGATGAATTATTTTCTGGGATAAAAGGCATATAGCGATCTCAAAAAGGTTTATTTTGATTAATTTGGTAGTTATTTCCAGTGCAAATCCTTTTACACTGTATATTCTTCAAAATCGTTTCAGAGCGGATCCGCTCCAATTTGCTACATTGCAAGTATATGGGACGTATTCTAACTGTGGTGAGGCCTTGTACCGAGACACAGTTAGATCATTCTAACTATACCCATACATGTATTACTAAGTGTAATGTTACATTGTCCTTTACCATCTAACAAACATTAACAAAGAAAAAATACTGTATGTAAAGCATTAAGAGAACACTGTAATATGTAACATGTGGGGTGAGAAATTATTAAATATATGATGGATATTATAAGAAATGAATATACATGTAGGTGTTTTAAAATTGTTTAATTAACAGTAAAATCAAGTTGATTGACACAGTTAGGTGTAAAAAAGGGGGGGGGCACAAAAAAAGAGAGAATGTAATTTGAATAACTTTGTTAGTATATTGATGAATTATTGTTATGGATTTGTATTTATATTGACAGGTGACAGCTGCTGTAACCCTCTTAGCATGGGGTCCATTAAGGGCCTTATTGAAAAACAGGTCAAGGGAGTTTATGTAAAGTCTCTGGAGATTGGAAATAACATTGTTGAGGTTAGAATCTTTTAAAAATAAAGTAAAATCAATTTTGTTATCTCCTGATTGAATTGAAAATAAAGAAATAAAAAAATATATTTTTGATATAAAAATTCAGTTGGGATAATAATTAAATAATTTTTATGTCCCCGTAAATGAAGATTTGAGGGTATATAGTTTTTGTCGTGTCCGTCCGTCTGTCTGTCTGTCTGTTTAGCTGTCTATCTGTCTCTCTGTTTGTCTGTTTGTCCTCAAAAAATAAATTCCTTGTGAGAAGAACTTTCTTTGGGTACCACCAAATTTGACCTTTTGACCTTGACCTTGGAGTTTGACCCACTTTTACACAAAAATTCCAAACTTTTACTTTGGCCATGTCTTTTGAACAGTAGATACCAGGACATTTATACTTCGCATAAGTATTCTTTGTGGAAAGACCTTTCATTGGATATCAACAACCTTGACCTTGGAGATTTCCTATGAAATCTTATGACTTATTACTTATGAAAAAACTTTAACCTTGGCCATAACTTTTGAACAGTAAGGGATAGGGCCTTAATACTTCACATATGTAATCCTTGTGAAAAGACCCTTTATTGGATGTCCAGAACTTTGACCCATTGACCTTGACCTTGGAGGTTGACCTACTTTAAAAAAGCAAATCTTGACTAGAACTTTTAAAAGGTTAGGGCTAGTGCTTTCATACTTTACATATTTAATGCTTGTTACAAGACCTTTCATTTGATAGCAAGACCTTTGACCCTTTGACCTTGACTTTGGAGTTTGACCTATTTATTATTTTTTTTAACCTTGGCCATAACTTCTAAACATTTAGGACTTGGGCTTCCAATTTTTTTTACATACGTATTCCTTGTGGCAAGACCTTTCATTTGATACCAATTACCTCGAACTTTTGACCTTGACCTGGGAGATTTTCGTACTTATGAAGAAACTTTAACCTTGGCAATAACTTTTCAACACTCAGGGCTAGTGATGTCATACTATATATATGTAATCCTTGTGAAAAGACCCTTCATTGGATACCAAGATTTCCAAACTGATGAAAATTTTTTACCCTGGTCTGATTTCATATTTCAAAGCTGTATTTCCAGTGCGTTTGCATTTAAAAGTTAAATCTTTGCTAATTTGTCGCCATATGGGGGCATCAGTGTTTCACAAACACATCTTGTTTTTCTAGGATACAGAGAATGGATTTTTAATGAATGTAAATCAGCAGATTGACCTTGTGTGTGGACAACTTTCCAAGGACTCTAAACTTCAGTCTGGCTACAATGCCATTGGATTCTCCCAGGGTGGCCAGTTCTTGTGAGTATTGTGTACCATATTTCTTCTAATAAACACAAATACCACTCCATGTACAAAGGCATACTTCATATGTCAAGTGTGTACATAGGCCCTGTTTCTGTCATGAATTGTCCCCAATGTATAATAATTCAAGGTATTTATCTCCAAGTTACAAGGTGTAATCCCCTCCTTATATTCCAATCATTTACACTTTCAAAGAAATTTGAAAAACTAAAAAATTATTGACTACCATTCCGTACTGTATGAATTATCTACAAAACCACACATGGCCTGCTTGTCTTTATTTTCCTTTATCTCTATAAACAGCATCCAAACATTGCTTGCCCACCATCTTCCAAAGTCAAGAGTTTCTGATCCACATAAACCCTTGACCAAATAGACAGAATTTGACAGGGTTTTGTGATCGCCTCATAAGGAGGGTACGGGTCCACAGGGAATAAATAGAGCATCCAACTGCTCACTAGTCCTCAACACTTTGGTTAAACAGTTAAACAGTAATCTTTTGAAATGGAATGTGCAAAGTTCTTGGGATATGTGTTAAATATTCAGTTTTAAATCATTTATTGATGGGTGGGGGGGTGTATTCAGCTTAAGTGAAAACTTTGGCCTTTCATGAAAATTATACATTTGAAATTGATGATTTTATAAAAGAAGTAAGGTATCATGTAACATGTGTAACTACATGCATCATCTTAATATTGCATTGTGTGTACATCAACATGTACTTCACTATTTTTAAATACATCAACTCTTTATCAGACTATATACATGTACTGATATAAATATCTTTGCCATTGAAGTATTTATAGAATCTACTAGAAATTAAATAGAAACAGAAGTTATGCATGTAGCTTATGATGCTTGGATTTTTTTTATGCAGATACATATATATTTTTATGCATGCATGTATTAATTCATTGAACAAAAATAAGAGAGGTTAGACATATATTTCATACTAAATGGTCTAAAAGCCTTTTTATTTTATATAACATCCACGGTTATTTTTTTTCTATTGATTACAATTAATGTTACTATTAATCCAAATTGTGCTGGACAAACATGGAATTCTATATTTAATAGGTAGAAAACAGTGCCAAAGGACATGGCATACACTCTTATTGATGTGTAATTATAGGAGATAGGATCATTTCTATTGAGACTAGAGATTACCATAGTAGTCATTAATACTCAGAAAATCAATATTTTGTACCATTTGAGGAATTTTACTGTCAAGGGTCTAGAAATTTTCATTAATCACAGACACTTTGTGTTATGTATGACTCTTTTTTTTTGTATAAGATTTATAGCAACAAGAATTTTAAATATTAATTTCAAAATCTTCACAAAAGTTTCATTTTTTTTATTTGGAAAGCAATTACTGTCCCTGCCTTCATAAAAGTGTGAAGATGTTGAACTTGATCCATCTCTCTGGCTAACCATCTGTCCATCTTTCAGTCATATAAACTTATTTCAAAACATTTGAATGAAAAGAGATGGGGCTTTCATATTTCACATGTGCAATACCAGTGACAAGACCTTTCAGAATAAACAATGTTTTTTTGATCTCTTGACCTTGAAGTTTGACCTTTTAAAAAAAAAATAACTGGTAATTACTTTTGAAGGAGAGAAGATATTGGTTTTATATTTCACATATACAGTACCTAAACTTTGATTTTTGTTATACATGTATCATGATCTTGAAGTTTTCTTAATTATCTTGAAGTTTGACCTACTTAGGAAAATTAACTTTGCAATATTGTTTGCCAAGCAACAGGATATATACAATACACTGTATATCATTTTGTTCCTCTGCGATTTTTGAAGCATATAAACTATCTCAAACCAGAAATTACATATTGTTAGGTCTTGGTAGATGTAGGATGTAGACACAATGCCTGAACAATGACAGCAACAGCACTATCCATATTATCAGGAAATAATAACTTTGTTATTATCTTTTTATGATGAATAGCTTATTTCTTTACTGTTTACATGATATACATGAACATGCAGGAAATAACATCCTCCGGAAACTTGCACAAATATCTTTTAGTATACCCCAAGTGTTTCTGAGAAAACTTCATAAAGTAGCATATTTACTTACATTTCAATCACAAGATTTTGGGGAAAATATATTTTATGGGAACTTCTCACCTAGCTGACCTTAAAAGAGAATAAAATAAAATGTATTTTATTATTTTGACCTGCTTATTAATGATTCTGTTACATATTGCAGAAGAGCCATAGCTCAGAAGTGTCCAAATCCCCCCATGCTGAACCTCATCTCTGTAGGGGGCCAACATCAGGGTAACAACTTCAATGGAAAATCAGAATAATTAAGAGTTGTCTCCCTTACACTGCTGGATGATATCACATCTTAACTATTTAAAAAAAATCAAAATTTGTAATATGAAATCATTCTTGGACACTTTCTAAAATTACAGCTCTTTTCCAAAATTGTTGAAAGTGTCAGTGTTTTTGAATATTAAACAAAATTGATGCATTCTAATTATCCACAAAAATATGAAAGGATTATATTAAAGTGATTTATTTTGAAAATTGATATACTGACCTAATAATTCAAAAATGTAAAATTTAGATATTTATAAAATTGTTTGAATGTGTTTAGGTGTGTATGGTTTTCCCCGTTGTCCAGGTGATAATAGTACACTGTGTGATATTGTCAGAAAGCTGCTGAACTTAGGGGCATACAACAGGTAAATTTCTCATTAAGAGCCCTCTCTACACTGCACACTAAAGAGTTCTGATTCTATGGTATTTTTTGTAGTTAGAGAGATCTGCTCTTTGATCTAAATTCTAAGAAATAGAATTTTATTGAATATTTCTCAATTTGTAATCAATTCAAGTATTCTTCACATTTTTTAAAGGCCAAGAAAAATTAATTGAACATGTTATTAATACAATCTTGTATTTTCTCTATGGAAATACACATCAGTGATTTCTATTCACTGATACATGTACATTTATGATGTAGTTCAATTAACTTAGGTACGGTTAAGAGTAGTTTACAGGTTTAGCTAGCAATAGATAGTAGTGTAATACTAGTGTATTATAGATAGTTAACTTAGTACATATTAGTGCAAGTAAAGTAATTAAGAAATTAGAGATAATTTCGCAACTTAACCATCATTATGAAGGAGGATCAGGAAACAACGAAAGAAATGTCGGAAACAGAACTTCAAGAATTAGCAAAAGCTTTCAAGGAATTAGGAGTGAAACCAAAGGCAAAGACTGCCAAGGAACTAAAAGCTTGGATGACAAGTTTTGCACATTGGACAACACCAAAGTTATCTCAAGGGGACATAACTTCAGGTGCAAGCAACAGTTCACCAGAAATTGCGACGACTATTTCATCTTATCATCCAAAACTCTCAATTTTCTCTGGAGATAAGAAAGGTGACACCTCATATGACTTATGGCGGTATGAAGTAGAGTGTTTAAGGAAAAGTGAAGTGAAACCAGCCATACTTTTGGAAAGCATGAGGAGATCATTGCGTGGAAATGCAGCCAGAGTTCTTATGAGACTTGGGCCTGATGCATCATTAGAGGAGATTATGCACCGATTTGAGAGTGTCTACGGTACAGTAGATGACAATGAAAATTTGCTTTCTCAATTCTACAGTGCAACTCAGAGAGATACAGAGGATGTGTCAGAGTGGAGCTGTCGACTAGAGGATCTCCTTAATAAAGTCATCCAGAATGAAGAAATCATCCCAACGAACACAGATCAGATGCTACGTAACATGTTCTGGAATGGTTTATTTGAAAACTTGAAGGACATTACTGGTCATATCTTCAAGGAGTCAACAAATTTTGATGAATTGAGACGAGCAATAAGGAAAGTGGAACAAGACAAACTGAGAAAAAAGGACATGAAAAAAGCAACAATCCAGACTATAGTCAGTAACCCACAGATGGATGAACTGAAAGCTATGATACAGAAAATGGATACTAAAATGTCCCAGATGAAGGAAGATATCAATGAAGTTCGTCAAAAGTACCAAACAGAAAGACCACAGAAACCCTTTATGAATGGAAAATTTCAGGGTCAAGGAAGAGGTTTCCAGGGTCAAGGACGAGGCTTTCGAGGTCAAGGAAGAGGTTTTTGGGGTCAAGGAAGAGGTCAACAACAATTTACAGATTACAGACAAAATCAACGATATGCCTCATATGGAAGTAGAGATGATGCTGAAGTAGTCTGTTATAGATGTGGACAAGTAGGTCACGTGCAGTATGGTTGTAGAGTTCTTCTAGATCACAAGAGAGGTTTAAACCCATCTCGGCCTGCATTGAGACGCGGACGTTAGGTCGAAATCAAATACAGCGTCAATCAACAGGGATTATAGGAGAACCAACAGAAGTTGAAGTGAATATTAATGGATTGACAACAAATGCTTTATTGGATACAGGATCTACAGTATCAACTATTTGTCAGTCATTTTATCAACAATATTTGAAAGACATCGAAATACATGATATTAGAGAAGCATTCCAACTACAGTGTGCTGATGGTAGTAGTTTGCCTTATAAAGGATCTGTGGAGTTAGAGATTTCATCCAAAGGCCTAGGAGATAGTAAAGAACACAGATGCTTATTCCTAGTTGTTGATGATACAAACTACCACAGGACTGTTCCCATACTTTTAGGAACCAATGTATTGAGAGTCATGATGGAAGATACCAAGGACAATTATGGAGATAGATTCTTACAAAAGGCTAATCTACATACACCGTGGTATTTGACATTTCGATGTTTATCATTGCGTGAACGGGAATTAGCAAAGAACAATTATAGATTAGGATTGATCAAGTCAGCAGAGAGAGAACCTATCATCATTCCACCGAATGGAGAAGTACAAATCCAAGGTTTTGTGGACAGAATGATCCCTTATCAACAGACGATAGCTCTCATACAACCAACAGTCAAATCATCTATTCCGAAGGATTTAGACATTATCCCGAACCTTATAGACTACAACTACCAAGTACAGGAACCAGTGATAGTAACAGTTAGTAATGTTACAACTAGAACAGTGAAGGTTCCACCCAGAGGTCTTATTGCAGAGATTCAGCCAGTCACAATGGAGGAAATGCCTGAGGAATCTACTGCAACCAATTCTATGACAATCACAGGACAGGACTCATTTAATATATCCAGAGATAACTTAAGCCAAGAGGAGTACTTAGCAGCTCAAGAGATGATACTGAGAAACAAGGATATGTTCTCAAAGGGAGACACAGATATCGGACATGTAACAACAGTCAAACACAGAATTGAGTTAACAGATCCAACGCCATTCAAACAGAGACACAGAAGGATACCACCATCAATGTACAAAGAAGTAAGAGACCATCTACAACAGCTGTTAGAAGCAGGAGTGATAAGAAGATCTAAATCACCCTTCTCCAGCAATGTTGTCTTAGTAAGGAAGAAGAATGGAGAATTAAGAATGTGCGTGGATTATCGCCAGTTGAACAACAAGACGAAAAAAGATGCGTATGCCTTACCCCGAATTGAAGACATCTTAGACAGTTTATCAGGGAATTCGTATTTTACCGTTTTAGATGCCAAATCAGGATACCATCAGATCGAGATAGAGGAAAGTCAGAAGGAAAGGACTGCATTTACCGTAGGCCCATTAGGATTCTACGAGTACAACCGCATGCCCTTTGGCTTATCCAACAGCCCGGCCACATACCAACGCCTAATGGAAGACTGCCTTGGTGAGCTACATCTTAGCATCTGTTTTATATTTTTAGACGACATTATCATCTTTTCTAAGACCTTCGAAGAACATCTACAACGACTTCAACAAGTGTTTGATAAGCTGAGAGATGCTGGACTTAAATTATCCCAAAAGAAGTGTACATTTTTCCAACAAAGAGTTAAATACGTAGGACATATAGTTTCCAACAAAGGCATCGAGACGGACCCAGACAAAACCAGTAAAGTCATCAACTGGCCTACCCCAACAACACCAGAAGAGGTTAGGAAGTTCCTGGGATTCGTGGGATATTACCGCAAATTTATCAAGAATTTTAGCAAGATCGCCAAACCATTGTGCCAATTAATGCCGATTCCAACAGAAGGCAAGAAAGCAGCTAAAAAGAGTGCAGCAAAGAAGTGGAGATGGGGCACAGAGGAACAACATGCATTTCAACATCTGAAGGAAGCTTTGATATCACCCCCAGTATTAGGTTATGCGGACTATAGTATACCATTCGAACTACACACAGATGCGAGCCACCAAGGACTGGGGGCGGTCCTCTATCAAGATCAGAGCGGACAGAAAAGAGTTATCAGCTACGCCAGCCGAGGACTAACAAAAGCAGAGAAGAATTACCCTGCCCATAAATTAGAATACCTAGCACTGAAGTGGGCAGTGTGTGACAAATTTAAAGATTATCTGCTAGGAAGTAAGACTAGGGTACTGACGGACAATAACCCACTCACTTATGTCCTCACAACGGCTAAATTAGATTCGACAGGACATAGGTGGTTGGCAGCTCTTGCCAATTTTGACCTAGAAATTCAGTATCGGCCAGGTAAGAAAAACTCTGATGCTGACGGACTCTCTAGACTAACAGGACAGACAACTGAATCTTGTTATATTTCAGATGATTGTTTCAAGGCTGTTTGTAATTCTATTCAATTAGATATTCCAAATGTAGAAAAATTGTCTTTTGATTCAGAAATTGTGAACCAGCTAAACACACAAATTCCAGGTCAGTTTAAACAGGTTGATTGGGTACAAGCACAGAAAGAAGATGCAGTTCTCAGAAATTGGATCCATCATGTAAAGTCAGGGAAGAAACCGAGAATGGAAGATCTACCACCATCCCACCATTCCCTAGCCTTGATTAGGAACTTCCATTCCCTTCACCTGATTGATGGTATTTTATATAGGAAAACAAAGATAGATGACAAAGAGAAGACACAGTTGGTGATTCCTAAAGACACAGTACCAGTCATTTTGAAAATGCTGCATAATGACTTTGGACACCCAGGACGAGACCGATTGATTTCTTTGGTAAAGGATCGTTTCTATTGGAATGGTATGAACAACGACATTGACAACTGGGTGAAAGGCTGTCCACGATGTTTAAGAAGAAAAGTACCAACCAATCAACGTGCACCACTAATGCCAATTAGGACATCCTACCCACTCGAATTAGTATGCATGGACTTCTTGACCTTAGAGCCATCAAAAGGAGGTTACCATCATATCCTGATAATAACGGACCATTTCACGAGATTTGCCCAGGCCATCCCTACAAAGAACCAGACAGCAAGAACAACAGCTGAGGCCCTTTACACCAACTTCATGACTAAATACGGCTTTCCAACTAGGATACATAGTGACCAAGGAGCCAATTTTGACGGTAACATCATAAAGGAACTTTGTAATATAACAGGGATGAAGAAGTCCAGAACGACCCCCTATCATCCCATGGGCAATGGAATGTGTGAGAGGTTTAATAGAACTCTTATGGACATGCTCGGAACACTCAACCCAAGTCAGAAGTCTAATTGGAAAGCTCACATTCCATCACTGGTACATGCCTACAACATCACAAGACATGAGAGCACAGGGCAATCACCGTACTTGCTGATGTTTGGAAGAGAACCGAGGCTACCCATAGATATTACCTTTGGAATCAACAACCCAGAGAAGAAAACCATGACAAAATATGTAGAAGATCTAAGAACAAGGATGAAGTCAGCATATGAATTAGCATTAAGAGCAGCAGAAAAAGCAAGAGAAAAACAAGGTAAGTATTATGATCAGAAGGTAAGAGGTGCTAATTTACAGACAGGTGATCGAGTCTTGGTGAAAATTGTAGCCTTCGACGGTAAACATAAGATTGCAGATAGATGGGAGGAAGAGGCATACATAATCATCAAACAGCCAAACCCTGAGGTTCCAGTATATAGAGTACAAAGAGAAGATGGCCTTGGAAGAACAAGAACATTACATCGAAATCTTCTGTTGCCGATAGGATGCATTGATCCAGACCAACAGCAGATTATTCCAGAAAAGCCAAAGCCTAAACCGAGACTAAAGAAAGCACAACAAACACAAGAGAAGACAGAAAACCACAAAGAAACTGTTGCAGAGGTAGAAGAGAATGCAGATCTTAGTGATTCAGATGATGAATACTTTTTGCAGGTACCGGTACCACCAAAGAGAAGTCATGCTCTAGACAATACTCAACACAGTATTAGTGAAGAGAGAGCTGAGGAGAGAACAGATGATAGAGGAGAAGAAGCCAGACCAGAGCCAGTGAGGGAAACCCGGGAAATCCCTGCACCCCAGACAGAGGAGGGTGGTGGCTTAGTGTCAGGAGAAGAAGAACAAGTGACAGTAAGAAGATCTGCAAGGCAGCGCAAACCACCAAAACATCTTGATGACTATAAAGTTTACCAGATCAGTAGCGACACCAAACACAGAGAATTAGATATGCTCAGACAGATGTATTTTATGACAGATGTTCCAGAGGAGAGAACACTGTTATTGAAGAGCATCATCAGTTTTGTTAATAAGGATTAATTTATACAACTACATTTTATGCTTTGCTGTAGTAAATGACAGGGACGTCATTTCTCAGCTGGGGGGAGTTTGTGGTAGTTGTACTTAGTTTTATTTTATTTCAATTAATGCTATATTTATTTTATTTCAGGAATTTCATTCATTCATTCATTCATGCATTTACATAGCGCTGCACATTACTAATATTTTGTTTAAAATTATAAACATCCCTATTCAAATAATGGTTTAACCCAAAGACTATGGGTTAAGGTAAGTTTTATAGAAGAGTCTATTTATAAATAAGGGTGTAGTCTATATTCATCCTTTCCATTGGTCAGTTGTTATTGTGTGGTCTGAGTTGTCCATTCAGGCGGGAAAACCTTTGTTTCAATTTTTCATAGCTACATTCTGAGAAGGGTGTTGTCAGAGATCTGTGTGTCTATATTAAAAACCTGATATTAAATTTTGGAGTAAATTAAACACCCATAAACTGTAAGTAAACCTTTTCTTAAACTGAATAAATGATCATAAACTTCAATTAAAAGATAGTGAATGAATTAAGTATTTTAAACTTAAACTTGCTAAACAAGTATGAATGTGATAGAGTGAAAGTTTTAAAGTTATAAAAGTAAAGATTGATATATTGAAAGTTATATGAGCAAGTTATATTTTAATCTAATTCATGTAGATCTTTAGAATTGAGATCTGAGTTTGAATTATTATGATTTTATTATTTGTTAATTCATTAGGTCTGTCATCATGTAATTAATTGATTCTAAATCCCCATCAAGTGATCACTCAGTTCCATACACTGGTATGTTTAAATTCATATTCTTCAAGTATTGTAAATAGATAATTGATAAATGTAAAAGAAATATAATCTTTAGTAAATTTGAATTTCAAAGAGTTATTGCCCTTTGAATGTGTTTAGTACAAATGTAAAGTAATGGCCTAAATGAATGTTTTATGTGTTTAAATTGAAATCGTTTTGTGTTGTAAAGTGAATGTGCTTGTCTTTATGTTGTCTATGTGTTTATACGTTGTTATTGTTATTTTAGGGTTGATTTCCATTGATTTCCATTTATTTCCATTGATTTTCAACTTATTTATATCATCTTTAATTCATCTATCTCCATGGAATAAACGAATCCAACCCCGTACCGACTTGTTAATCTTAATTTCTACAAGAACCGGTTACATTGTGTTTGATCATTTTCCTGGGGGCAAATGCGATGTAATTAAAATTGAATAGATAAGCTCAATATTAACACCTTTATACAATATATTTTTCTCAATATCCCAAAAAATATTTTGCACTGGTGTAGAGAGGGTCCTTAAATATTTATTTATTTTTTATCTAAATCAATGAAATAGTGGTTTGAAAATACACATATAAAAAAAAATTAATTATATAATTTGCTTGTTCTTTCAGTTTTGTGCAGAATAAGTATGTATACCTTATGTCTTTTTTTTCAAACTATCCTCCCATGAAGAGCTGTACATGTATTAACTTCTAGACTATATATCTATTACTCCTCATCAGCCATTCTTAAATCAGCAATTATCTTGTATAAAATAACTTTTTATTTATTTTTTAATTATTCAAAACTTTTCGAAAGTATATAATGGGAGATGATACCAAGTTCCTGCATAATACAGTCTTATTCAAAATTGTGAAAACAGAAAGATATATTTACTCCATGGAATTGTACATAATAGCACATGTAATAAAAATAAACCTATATCAAGATCCACATTTAAGTTTGCATAAATATTATACATGTACCATAATACTTTTTCTTGATAACTATAAACTCCTAGCATGTTGTAGTCTTGTCCAAGCAGAATACTGGCATGACCCTCTCCAGGAGGAGGAATATAAATCAAAGAGTGTGTTCTTAGCGGACCTGAATCAGGAAAATGTAAAATATCTTATTTCAACAGATTTTAAAACTACTGTACTGGTACTTTCAAATACAAAAGCTTCACTAAAGAAAAGACAGAATGCCATACTGTTATGTTTTCATTCATAAATTACAGAAGAGAAATGAGACCCAGAAAAACAATTTGCTAAAACTGAAGAATTTTGTGCTGGTCAAATTCTTACAAGATGAGATGGTGGACCCCAGGGATAGTGAGGTGGGTAGGAACCTGTAACACTATTGTTTGGGAGGAAAATTTATAAGGAGTACCATATAAATATATATGATAAGGTGTACCAGATAGTCCAACATTGTGCTGGTAGTATGCTTATTATCAACTAACTGACCATTTGTAAATTCTGTTATCAAAGTTTTTAATTTTTTATACCCTCCCCTTGAAAAGCTGGAGGGTATATAGTAATCAGGATGTCCATCCATCTGTCTGTTATGCTTTGGGGTACCCATCTCATACGCAACTCCTCTCATCCCACTGAATGAAATTTGATGAGACTTTCACAGAACTTTAATACATATTGCCTTTGTGCACCTCCTATTTTACTAAGGTGTTGCGTAAACTTGGTGATCTACAGTATAAAATCTGTAGCTTTAACATCGATTATCTTGTCATTTCAGTGGTTTGGCTTCTACAAACCTGGACAAGCAAAAGAACTCTTCACCCTTTTTGAGTCACCACTTTATCAAGAGGTAATTAACAGTGAAAGCAATGAAATCAAGTTTTCATAGGAAAATCCTCTGGATGCCTTCTTGTTTTCAAATAATACTATCATATAAATATGAGAAATATGTACTAATTGTATTTATAAATAATTTAATTTCACTTGTATCAAGCAATTTCATTGGCTGAATCATTCGGAGGAACATATAACATTTTGTATAACATAACTTGCCTACGTCACGAGTTACGTCAAAAACGTATTACTCCGCTTGACGTTACTTTTAAAATATTGCTCAGTTTGAAGCCTTTTTTCGGAGGAAATATTGTCTCATTGTCTACACTGAAATTAAATTATAAGGAATGAAGCTAATTTCAACTTATATTATCCGATATAACAAAACTGGGGGCAGTTTACGCTTTCTTATAAACCGCTTCGCGGTTTATAAAGCGTAAACTGCCCCAAGTTATGATATATCGGATAACATAAGTTGAAATTAGCTTCATTCCTTAAATAATCATCCCTCTTGATTAATTCACCTGTCAAATCATATAGGACTGGTTGGGATTGAAGACAATGAACAGCACTGGTCGGCTCCACTTTCTGGCTTCTCCCGGTGACCATCTACAATTTACAGAGCAATGGTTCATTGACAACATAGTCTCCAAGTTCCTTAAGGGGTAGATTCTGCACTGTCAGAACCATGAAGTGAGATTACAACTGATCAGCAAGTTATCAAGGTCTTCAAAAAAAAAAAAGTTTTCCCGATTCTGTTGATTAGTGTAGATGATTATTTCCCTTGATTTGAAAATGAATAACTGATGATTCATCTTTGTATAGGCTAAAGGAGTTATTTTTCAATTGATCAAGTTAATTTGAAATCCAACTCTGTATTTTAGTTTAACAAAGTAAATTTGTTTATGCCACATTCACCGAAAAGTCCATGTTGTGCTGTGATAAGTATTTGTATATTTTAAATCTTGTATGGTCACTTGACGACTTCAATATTTATTGATAATTTTGAGTTTTCAGTTGGTTGTATCTGTGGCCCTTATATTGTGTGAAGTAAATTTAACATTCTAAACATTCTACTTATCTCCACCAATGCAGGGTACTAATTTTATAAGTACATGTAGTACTGTATATAAAAATCGTAAGTTGCTTTTCATGTGAAATGTATTACATTAACATATTGTATATTCAGTGGATAAATCCCAACACGAAGTACATGTATAGTTGCATCACAGATTTAAGTTGCTTAGCTTTGGTGCATCATGTCTTTTTTGTGCTATAATTTGTTAGTTAATTTTTCATATTTTTTCATATGAATTACTTATGTGTGTGATAATTTATTAAATTGAGTGATGTTGATCATTATCCGAATTTGACACAATATCATAAATTTTTCATGTTTCATTAAATAAAAACTATTTTTATAGAATATGTACTGTTTTTGCTTTTGGAATGAGAAAAGGAAGATTCTCATGGCTGAGGTCAAATTAAAATTCAACTTGCAGGATAATTTCTGCAACAGTGCCTTTTATAAATACCTAAAACTTAAAGCAATCCTTGGTATAGACTTTACTTTTAAGTTCAACGCATACACAGATGAATTGACTATATAATTTATTTCGGATATACATATATCCACTATATAAAATGATAGAACAATACTTTTATACCAACCCTAAATGTTGCATATAAAACTTAATACAAAAAGGTTGTCCAAGTACATTTAACATTTAAATAATACTATTAAGAGAGACCTATTTTACAAAATAAAATATACACATTCTGTCATAAAAGAAAAAAAATTCTAAATATTAACAACCATTTTACTCGATGTAAAATTCGATGTACAAGTTTGAGTGATGTCACTTTATGTTCTCAGTTATAAATAGATATATGTACATAGAAGCGTCAGTAACAGTAGTACAGGGGTGGAGGTGAGGGGCGTGGCTGTAGTGTAGATACACAGCAGGTCCTTGTCTGACATTTTAGGACACTTCCCCTCCTCTGCTAGAGTGCGGCTGGACTTAGACACCTGATTACATGTACCGTTAATGATACGGTATGCTCCTGAGTTCACAATGCTATAATGTGAAGATAACAAACAGTAAGCAAACTCAAAAGCTCAATGAAACATTACAAATTGAGAGCAGAGCAAATATGGACAGCTTATATTGGAAGTGGGATAAGGTACTATAGAATGAAAGAAAATAACTTGTTCTTTTATATGATGTCAAACTTTTATTTTAATATACATGCTATGTTTGTCTTTACAGTTACAATTTTTACTGGTTTACAGTTAACACAAATTTTCAAGATAAATATTCATACCGGTATTTACCTTCGTGTGATTTGGCAGTTGAAATTATAGAAGAAAGAGGCTGGGTGTGAATTCCAGTTCTCTATGATGAGCAGGTAAAGATTTGTTTTTGGCAGTGAGGTCACATAGTAAAATCCAGACATGCATGGTCCAGATACATTCCCTGTTATCATTCCACTAGGACCTGAAAAATGTATATGTATATATATTTTTCAGTAAAAATAAACCAAAGGGAAAAAATACAAGTCCAAATCTTTATCCAATAAATGTATTCATTTTTAGCTCACCTGAGCCAAAGGCTCAAATGAGCTTTTCTGATCAAAATTTGTCCGTTGTCTGTCGTCGTCATTGTTGTCGTCGTTGTTGTTGTAAACTTTTCACATTTTCATCTTCTTCTCAAGAACCACTGGGACAATTTCAACCAAACTTGCTACAAAGTATCCTTGGGTAAAGGGGATTCAAGTTTGTTAAAATGAAGGGCCACGCCCTTTTCCAAGGGGAGATAATTATGAATTAAAGAAAAATTAATGGCATTATTAAAAAATCTTCTTCTCAAGAACCACTGGGCCAGGAAAGATGAAACTCATGTGGAATCATCCTCAGGTAGTGTAGATTCAATTTTGTTCAAATCATGACCCCTGGGGGTAGGGTGGGGCCAAAATGGCTGATCAAAGTTTTACATAGGAATATATATAGGAAAAATCTTTAAAAATCTTCTTCTCAAGAACCATTGAGACAGGAAAGATGAAACTCATGTGAAATTATCCTCAGGTAATGTAGATTCAAGTTTTATCAAATCATGACCCCCGGGGCTAGGGTGGGGCCAAAATGGCCAACCAAAGTTTTACCTAGGAATATATAGGGAAACCTTTTAAAATCTTCTTTTCAAGTACTTCAAAGCCATGATTAGTAATATTTATATGGAATCATACTCAGGTAATGTATATTCTAGCATGTTCAAATCATGATCCCCTGGGGGGTTAATATTCAAGCCCTCCCCCCCCACCTCAGTTAACTTTCAGTTCTGATCTGATATGTGCTTTTTCCTAGCCGATGTGCTCAGGTGAGCGCTGTGGCCCCTGGGCTCTTGTTTAATTATAAAATGCAGTTTAACTCTGGTATCTTGAACCCAATATCTCAATTACCATTGATATCTAAAAATATAAAGTATGATACTGTAGTAGGAAAGGAGAAATGCACGAAGAAAGCATATGGCTGGACCGGGAATCGAACCCAGGACCCCTGCATTACTAGTCAGTTGCTCTAACCACTGAGCTATCCGGGCCGATATCCACGGTCCGTAAAGCCCGAACTTCTACAATACCAAATTTCAAACAAATATTGGTGTTCATACCTAGTGCTTGATCATTACTTTTAAACTGTATAACATCTTGAATACAGCCATATTCACTGTTGAACTGAGGAATAGGACCCTTGTTTCTGATGTAGTCATCCTGCTCCCCTGGATTCTTGGGAATCCCATCCAGAGATAACTGCAAAGGAACAAATCATGTAAAAAGAATATAGCTGAAAATTTTAACTATACTTTATGTGCCTTATTCACCTGCTGGATATGACAAGGCAAACATGCTCAAATTCAAATCACACGATATTGTATCACCTTTGGCTCTTCTGGTGTGATTCGACATGATCCCTGAAAATCTATGCTCTCTCCTCGATCAAAGAAGCCATGCTTGTAGATAAGGTCTTTCATGACTTCTCCCTCTTTAGTCCCAAGTTGGACCTGTTCATATTTACTTTCATCTAAAGCACTGGCTATCAAAAAGTCAGGATCCATTACAAGAAATGCCTTGCTGTCAAACAAGTAGCACCTGTTGAATAGAAGTAATTCAGGAAGGTGAAAAACAGAACATTTAAAATCAAAAATTAATATTTGGGATCCTTAGTAATATGATTTTAAGTTACCCGTACATTGTTTTAAATATACTTAATGATTGTCTATTGTCAATCTGAATTCAAATCATGATTTTACTGCAACTATACTTAAGATAGCAAACCTTGTCTGACATTTATTTTCTCCATTGGGACAAATGTAATGTTGGTTACAGGACTTCAGCCCATTACTGGCCTGCATGGCCTCCATTGTTCTGTTCTGAAAATCATCATACAGGATGTCCAGACCGGTCACTCCCTCCACACGCTCTGTAGCACAACGGCGCTGGTCAGAGTTAGGACCTGGTGCTTCACTCACATAACATACACCTGCACAGAATCAACAAAATTTTAGATTATTTTAACATTAAGTCTTTAAAAATCAACATAATCTATCAAATAAATTTTTTCTCAAAATTTGCTTCATATAATTAAGTATATAAAGTAGGAAAGCATTAAAATGAGGAATAATGAAGTCAAGGTCATTTGCAAGATCAAAATTTCACACAGTTGAAAGCTTTAAACCTGAGCAAAATGTAAGTGTAATGGACAGACAGATGGAGGATGGACAGTAGGACAAAGTATGGACATGACAAACACTATATGCCATAGCCACATTCATAGTAGGACAATAAAATTTAGACTTGGAATTGTAAGATGATGAAGATTTCAAACATTTCTTCTCCATTCTTTTGCATGATTAGATTTGTTAAGAACTGTACTTACGACTGATACAGTCAGTATCTACTTCACACACACAGCCTCCTGGTAGAGGTTTAGAGATGTTGAAGCAGTCCTCATCTGTACGAGGAGTCATTCCCTCAAACACAGCCTGGGAGATGGTGACAATCTTACCCACTCCTGCCGCATCCATATAAGGTGTAGAAATTGAGGTTCTCCATGGGGTACTGCTGGTTCTCTTGTACCAGGGCCGCCTTAAAGATGTAACATATATATGTATTACAAAAAATGAAAATTTCCCAACAGAGAAATGTAACTGGATATCTCTCTGTCTCATTTGTGCTTGGTTTTTCCATAAGATTATTTCTTATAAAACAAAAAACTGCATCTAAAAACTTGCAACTTTGCATATGGATTGAAATACAGTAGTCATATCATAATGTATGCATACTTTGTTGGATCATATCCTCTTTTTGATCTATGGCCAGGATAAGTTCTAAACATCCCACTCCTAAGTCCAATGTTTGTCCATTTGACTTGCGATAGGGACTCAAATTCTCTTGATTTCCAGATCTCTTCTATAGGTTGTGTTATCAATGTATCAGCCCTGAAAATTGTTTAGAATTTTTTTCCTGATTCAATTATTGTGGTTTGTTCAATCCATGCAGTTACTACTATGGATACTTAACACTAAATCAAAGCTGCATCTTAGGTTTTTATTCCAGTGACATGAAAGCCCACTTTGCTTAATCAATAATGTGATAAAACCTAATAAATCTTTTACTAAGTTTAAACAATGTACCTGACCCCTTTATCATATATTTGATCCCCAACACAACCAAGGTCCGTCTCATTTGAGTTCATCCAGCGATGTGCATTGATGGTTTTCTTAGCCAGGTTGTCATCATACAAGTACTGGATAGGATCACAGTGAGACTTGGGGGCCAGAAATATGGTGGAGTGTTTGTAGCTGATGGTCAAGCCTGGATATCTCTCTGTCTCATTCTCACGGATCTCCAGCTCTTCCCAGGCATGAGGAAACTCGGCCTTCACCACTGGGTTTAGGTACTCTTTGAGAAGATTGTAGTAGCTTGTGGTGTAACTTGATCTATCTATGGGTTCCTGGGAACGTCGGAATTCCTACATTAATATTAATAAATGACAGGTTTTCTTTGAAATAGCTGGTAGTACACATATCAAAGAGAATAGAAAATAATGAGGGTTAAATGGAAGTTTTTGTTTAAGATTATACCAAATATATATTTCAAAAAATATATTAAAAAAATTATTTAAAGTTCCCTTTGAATAATACCTTGTCTGTGTCTGTCAATATATAAGCAAAGGAATATTCTGAATTGTTGATAGCTGCATAGAAAATGGTCTGAAATGAGAAAAATTAGTCTTCAAAATATTTAGTGAGATACATTTTTCAGTGCCTTAATTTTATTAACAACAAATGCCAGAATACCTTTGTGGATTTGTCCTTTTGTTCAATGACTTTCATATTTGTATTCCCTTCCCTCATATCTTTTAGAATCATAGGAAATTCTTCATATGTTTCTAGTTGTGTAATTGGAATGAATATTGGATCCTCTAAAAGCTGAAAGATTTATATCCACTTAGAATAATTAAACAGTGTAATTACAATGGTTTAATACACATTATGATGATTGTAACAAATTGTACAATATTTCTGTGGTATACCTTAATAATAAAAAAAATTTCAACTTACATTTGTGCTTGGTTTTAATTTTGGATGATAAATTGTCTCCCCTTCCTTGTTAATAAGGAATGAATACACATTTCCCCATTGATGCTTTGTCAGAAAATTCTCTATCTGATCCAATGTAGCATCAACGCCAACAACTCCAATTGTCCTAAAATTTGATGTAACATGAAAAAGAAACTTAAAATAACCGAATATCTTCCTTGAGCCTGATATTTTTAATGCTTGTAAGAATCTGGTCCTGGGGTCATAAAACTAAGAAAAGCTTACTTTTTATCTCAGTCTCGGTTTTCTATTTTTAATTCCGATGGTCGTCCCTAAAATTACTAAACTAAAATTGAAAAGGTCAATGTTTAAACAGTAAATGATCTTCCATTTCTCCCCTGATGGGGAGTTTTGGAGGAATACCAAAATTAACAGGGAATTACATTATTATAGGCAGGGAAATTCTCAGACCCCAGGTCTTAGGAACAACCCTGAATTTCTTTTGTAAAAGTGAGACGGCGATCAAAAGAGAGTCTTTCTAAGTTTTACAGCCCTAGAGCCTGATGATTGAATACTTACGTGCCATTACTGATGACAGGTATAGTGTATGTAACCATGATTCCCAATCCCCAGGCATCAAGGTACGGTGAGGTCCACATGGCTTTAGTATTCAGGGCACTAGAGGATAGGAAGTCAAAGTAGTTTCTCATCTGAAAGATGAGGTTCTCTCCATTGTTCAGCTTCACTAAACTCCCTCTGTGGCTACAGGCCAATCTCCCTGGAAACTCCTCGGCATCTTCTTTAATTAAGTAACTAAATATCCTAGTCTAAAAATAAACAGTTCATAGAAACCTTGAAAATAATGAATCTTTTAGTCAATGAAATGATGTAAATTACTCTCTTAGACTTACCTGAGGTATGCTGTACTTGCTCTTTTGATCAGCAACACTCCAAACCTTTGTCCAGTTGTACTTACAAACAGGTCCAGGTACATACCCACTCCTTGTATAATACCCTAGAGTGAAACAAAATATTTTAATGATAGTTTCTCCCTATAACATTGATCTACAGTCTTTTTTTTGGTCAATATGTGTATCTCCCTATATTCATTTGGTCATAATTATCTGGGATAGAGTTTTTACTGACCTGGACCACATCTGATATTTTCACCATCAGTGTCTTGTCCGTCAGTGACAAAAACAATGACAGACTGGCAGCCGGTTCGAGGGTTACTTCTTAGTAAGTTATAGGCAATTTCCAAGCCCTTCCTTCAAAACATACCATGATCAATGATATCAAAGATAAATAAATTCTGTAACACTGATAGTTATTTACTTTTAAACAAATAGAGCGGATCTCTGCTGGGTTCTGCACATCAGGCATTAATCAAAAAATAACTGGTCTACTTACTCAAGCTCACTTGTGCCCCCTGCTTTGAGTTTTTGAATCTTTTCCTTAAGGTCCTTTCTGTGAGCTATTGTGGCTGGTACCATTGTGTCTTGCTGACAGCTCAGTGCAGTTGTACCATAGTAATGAAGCCTGTCAGAAAGATAATTCTTTAATAACATGTACTTTTTTCATTAAGAAAATTTTAAATTTCCCTTCTAATATGGGTTATTAGTTTTTATTGTCTTTCCAATCATGTTACATATAGAGATGTCTTTCAGATTTTACAGAGTGCATTCATAGAAGATTCCCCTTACTTTCCAACTTCATCCCAATGGCTAGCCCTGGCACACACAACATTGACATAATCCTGTTTAGTTAGTGTATTGATAACAGTCTTAGCCACTCCCTTAGCAATGCTGAACTTCTCACCTTTCATTGAAAAACTAGATAAAACATAGAAAAGAAAGTAATTATGAAATGAAACCATTGATACATGAACTGATTCTTTTTCTTAACAGAAAATCATTTTATATGCTCTCTATATTGGAGGAGACACATATAAACATTATACCTGCAGTCCAAGACAATAATGACATCTTTTGGACCACTGGTGGCAGCTATGTACCAGGGACGAACTCTAGGATCATAATCATTGTAAAACCCGGCAAAGTTTGTGGACCACTCCCTACCAGGATATATCCGAACAATTCCTGCCGTGGATCCAAAGTATTGCCATCTAAATCATATACCATCCTTATTTATATAATTGCATTAAGCAATGAATGCATTATACACTGTAGATATCAATTTTTCTCCACAGTTTCAATATTTTTTGTGCAATTCATGTGTGATATTATGAAAATCTATTTCTATATGTATTTATTTGTTTTTATTTATTTTTTCATATCATTTTGAGAAATATAATCTTAAAATTTATTAACCAAAAGTTCTATTGCGCATCTGGTTTGAGTTGCCTGAGTAAAGTTTTATTCTATGATTTCATTGACTCTTCAATTTGATTGGTTATTTCCTATTTTTTCATCCAATAATATATTTTCATTATAAGTATAAATTTACCGCACTTCACCTGTGTCTGTCAGAGCAGTAATACGTTTTCAAGAAAGACGTTATATTATAATCTAGTGTCCATCATATGCATCTTACGGTATGTATCTTATATATTTGATTATGTGTTTCCTTACCATTTAAAGATTCGATTTACGTAATTATTTTGATTGCAAACGTTTCTCTTTATTGTATTTTTGCATTCAAAGTTGTAACTTCAATAATGAGTCTGTATGATTTCATTAAATAGTTTACAGTACACATTTTTTTCATAGAGTTCATTTTTCTTAAACGTTTACTGTAGGCAATTTATCTCGTATGTATTTTCATAATCTCTGTAATTTTGATTTATTATATACTTTATTTTAGATCAATGCCTTTATTTCCTCAATAAATGATGAAAACATAACATCTGCCTTACTGCTCGGTTACATATGTAAAATGCATTACCTTAAAAACTCATCTTTTTTGGCATTTTCTTTGAAGACTTCTTCCAGTTTTGTGGTAAAATTAACAGTGTCTACTGTCATTTCTTCTTCTCTAGGAACCTCGTCAGCAATCTTTATAGTAGAGAACTCCTCACTAACATTCTGCTTGTAATATCTAAAAGGATATATACATGTTATATAATCAGTATATCAATGCTACCCCCTTTGCCAAAAAATATGAAAGAAAAATCACTATTCGACATATGGAAAAAGCATTTTAAAGTATACATTTTCACCTTCTAATAAATAGAGCCCCACCCAAACCCTGGGGCCATGAATTTCCCAATTTTAATAGATTAATTTTAGAGGGTTTATGGCTCAATACAATCATGCCAATTAATAGCAATTTATTTTTATTTCTTGATGTCTAGGAGTAAAGAGTAATGCAGAGACTGCATTAAGTTTACCGGTATATGGTTTTAGTCACACCCCTCAGGCCTTTAAAGTTCATGGACCCAAAAAAGTCACATTATTTTTTTCCCTGTTCCATATATGTTATATGCCAACACAATATAACAAACAATGATGGACAAAACCAGATGGCAATAGGTCAACTGAATGACTCAGGTGATCTTATAAACATCTGACTGAGATTCAGGGATTCTATAGATACATTTTCTTTAATTCCTTTTTCAAAACAAAATCATCTTACGGAGCAAACTTAAGGCTGCCTGCCAGTTGCTCAGGAATATCAGAGTCTCTATACTGAGTCCGCTGCAGGTCTGTCAACTTTCGAGTCTTAAAGTTCTTCTTTTTATAGAACTCCTCATATATTTCCTTTACTTTTTGTGCTAATATCTGAAACAAAAATCTAGATCAAAAAGTGACTAAAATGCATACATTTACAACTGCAGAAAAGTATGTAACAGTTACATAAATGAAGTGGAATATCATAAATTTTGTAAAAAGAGATCATGTAATTTCAGAACAGTTAGAGATACATGCTTTTCTGTGTGATGCATTTACCTCTGCTGCATCCTTTTTCTTGCTGAAGTATTCTCCTAGTCCCTGTTTAACTTGTTCTACAATTTTTTGCCCATCTTTTCTCTCAAATGTGTAATTTGCCCTGTCTAAATACACTTGGGAAAAGTCCTTTTTTATGCCATCACTGGCTAGCTAAAATAAATTAATACATGAATGTCAGTAAGTACAATGTTAAAGCATAAAATCATTTTACTCAAAATTGTAACAAGAAATTAATGACTATGCAAGGTATTATATGTGTGTGAGTCAGATGAAAATAAACCTGGGAGCCTGAAATGAAATGTAAATGTACCTGTAAAATATAATTTTGTATCAACACTGCCCAGTTCAGGACATCCCCCTCCAAAGATCCATGTGTACTCTGTTCATACTCGTCCCATGGATATTCTCCTCTTGTTTGTATGATTACTATCTGGAGAATTAGTAGCCACCTCATCTCCTCAGTCCAATGCTCATGCAACTTAATTGTCCCGACTACATGACAGCTAGCCCTTTCATAATCCTGAAAAAGTAATATGCAAAGTTCAAGGAGAAGGATCTGACATATCTAAATTAACATGCACCAGGTACAATATAAATAAGAAATGAGTACTTGTAGTTGTATCACCATCATATTTATTAGCTTATTCTATAATATTGATAATGTAATTTTTTTTGGAAAGGGGGGGGGGGGGTCTTTAAGTATTATACATCACACTCTGACAAGACTAAAAATTGATGTATACATCTGCATATCAGATACCTATATATAATATAGAAATGTCAATTTAGTGACACAAAATGTTATTAGTAAACAGTTATAATTAAAAGTTAACCAATGTTTTTACCGTTCATGCAATATCCCTGCTGTAGGGTCTGTCCGTTGGGCTACATGTAACTTCACAATAGCAGACTTCTGGGAAATTCGAAATCTGCCAATATTTGCCAACAACATCCACAGCACCGCTGCAAATATCGACCCGTTCCCTAGAAGTCTATTGATTTCTGCCATACTTTTAAAGAACATTGAACTGTTTCCCTGCTTGAATAAGTAGATAAACTTAATTAAGAAATTGAAATATATTTTTTCTTTCTGAATGCAATAGACCTAACATCAAAATAATAAGGAACAACTATCCTACACACGAAACATGGATGATCCTTTATAGAGGTGATGCACATGTCACTTTGCAGACGACGTTCAAAATGAAAATCTGATTTTCGATCCCGCGTTAGGCTAATCTTCTTTTTTCTTCTTTTAACACAGCAAAACAGTTGACTGATAAAAATATTTAAGATAAAGCTATAACAAGAACCAAATAAAACACAGTCTGTATTCTTAATTTTAAAATATTACCCTCGTGTGCCCATATTTCGACGGTCTTTCAATGTGTTGCAATATTTTATTTTATGTAAACAAGAATCCATTGAAATAAATTGAGCGGTAAATTCATCATTAAAATTGTATTCTTTCCTGTGTAAAGATTTATCCAATTCGTCTTATCTACTTCTATTGGTGATGAGTTCAAAAGTGACATATAAACAATGGGCTCCGCCATTACCGGGTCCTAATTTCGACGGTTACGTCATCGATTGATATGCAAGCAATCAGGAAGGCCAAGCAAAACAAATTTTTAGTAGAAATGAAATTAGATTTTTTTTTTTGTTAATTAATGACAACACTTGTAAATTTAACATTTAATTTCATCATCTTGTCACTACTCAATGCAATGAGGACAGAGGAATTAGTCATACTAGGTCAGGGACGTAGCAACTGGGGGGCCTGCCCCCCCCCCCCCCCACTTTTTTCCCCAGCATTACCTTTACTATAGAAAATGTTCATAGAAAGGATGGTTGGCCCCCCACTTCTGATAATAACAGAGTGACATCAAGGAATTGTAGGAAAAAAATTTGGAGTGAAAGTAACTTGGCTTTGAATAGTTGGCCACTACCCCCCCCCCCCCTCCCCCGCGAAATTGGGTTTTGGAGTTTGGGCAACATTTAATTTTCCGTGTTTTTTTTTTTTAATTATTTATTTATTTTTTTGCTTGTCAATTTTTTTCAGGTAAGTAAAAAAAAATTCTCTGGTTGCCCCCCCCCCCACTTTCAAAAACGATGCTACGTGCCTGTAGGTAGAGAACCTGTGTGCTGCAACAGTATTTCAGGTGACACAATATTGACAAGGCATCCCATTCTTCGTTCCATCATACTGGGCCCATTTTATGAATATGATTATGTCACTGTTGAAAATTTCTTGTGTTGTAAATGTGTACTTTGATGCCTTTTTATAGGATCAGCCAACATGTATAATTATACAAAAGGTAAGCTCATATAATCTTACTTTATACAAACTGCGTTTCATTTTATTTTATTTTATATTTTTTTTTTTACATTTAATACCATTATTTATATATTATTTTTAGTAATTTTAATGTAAATAGAGAATGAAATAATTTTGTTTTAAAAAGAAGAAATGGTTGAAAATTTTAAAAGAAACAAACCATAATATTCTAACCATTGAAATATTTCCTGTGTAAAGATTCAGTGTAGTACTTAATTAAAAGGGAAAAAGTATTTTACAAAAAAAAAAAGAAAATGCATTACATTTCAGGAAATTGCAAATGATTATCATCAAATCATTAAAATATAAGTATAAAAACACACTTAGTCATTGTGATTTTAATTCAAAATATGATTAATTCATTGTTTTCTTTTTTTAAAATAAAGTTCTGATAAACTCAAAATAAAATTGGCTTGGCCTTGTTTTCAATAACTTTGTCGCGTGAATTTGATTACTGAATTGTCAGTCTATGCAGACGACATTTTGTCAATTTATTTGTAGCAAACATAAACCAGTAATCAGATTTCATATTTGTATCAAAAAGTGATTTTACGCAAAGCAGACTTTTTTTTCGTCTAAAACTATATGAAACGAATGCTCTCCTGTCTGAAATGCATTTTCATCCATGATATAGGTCATATGATCGCAAGTCTACTGGGGTAGTATGTTTACACTGACCAGCCTGATCTCGCGAGAACGAACTAGATATAAACAAAATAACAAAACCGTCGAAATTCGGACCCTGTCGAATTTAGGACCTTCGACCATAATTTACCAGATATATTTTTATATCGGGTTCGACATACAGTTTATTCTACGGTACCTCGAATTACCGAAATGCCCCTGGTTTACCGAAATGCCCCTGGAAATTACCGAAATGCCCCCTAAAACTACCGAAATGCCCTTTAAAAACTTAAATACTTTGATTAATTTGAAAGGTGGTGAGTTTATAATATATATTTTAAACTTTGAAATTAAAAAAATTACAAATGTGTTCTTTGTTCAAAAAGGTGTGTATATCTAAGAGAGATAACTCTGGTATTTGTAGTTGATCTATCTCCATGTCATATATCCTCGAAAAAGAAGTATATAATTGTTTCAAATTCTATATTACTATCTAAGATTTTTTTTACATGAATATAATTTTTGTAATGCTTACTCATCGATCATTTATATGAGGTGTAAATAAAACTGTGTACTTACTTGAACTTCTGTCATGTTTTCTTCTTCTTCTTTTCAAATATTTAACAAGATATACCATATAAAGTTTTGTCAACAAAATAAAAGAGAGAGAAAAAGAAGAGGGATATTAAATCATACAATTTTACAACGGACAATAACATGCTCTTCGCTGCGACAATGTTGCAAGAGTTATCGCTCTTAGTGGTCAAAATATTTGAGCGAATTAAAGGTATTTTTTTTATCATTTCTGTTCAAAATACACAGTTTTCTAAATATTTTTTTTCATAAATTATCATAAAATGACTATTAGAATATAATTCAAGGGGCATTTCGGTAGTTTTAGGGGGCATTTCGGTAATTTCCAGGGGCATTTCGGTAAATCAGGGGCATTTCGGTAATTCGGGTTACCCGTTTATTCTATACAGTGAGAAAAGACACGAGGACTGTGGTATCAAAATGTCAAGAAGCTTTGAAGTCGTAGAGGGACAATTTGATGATGTGGATGACTTATTAGAACCGTAAGTTCATGATTTTTCATACTCTTACTTTGAAATATAAAAAAAAAATGTTCAGATATGTCCAAATATGCTAGATCACTTACACATTGTTGTGCAATATATGATAATCATAACACACATGGCCATTTCTTACAGTGATAAAGTGATTTAAAATATTTTTGTCTCTTTTTTCAAATAAAACAGCATAAATAAATGTCAAGCTTATGATGCTGCAAAATGTAATTATGGCGAAGAGAATGGTGATGATGACGATGATTATAAATATGACGATGAAGAGGATGATGAAGATGACGATGACAACACATATGACTGGGATGGTTGTACGGGGAATTTTACCAAAAAGTATAATGCTGCAGCAGCCCACATATCACGAGTATGTTGTTCTATGACTCAAAATAATAGGTGTATAATTATCTAGAAAGTTTTCAAGCATAGTATTTTACTTTGCAAATACTCTTGTTACTTTTTATATAGTTGGGCAATATATTTTTTCCAGCCTAATGCCAATCCACCAAAGCAACAACATCAAAAAATGTCATCCTTTCAACCAACAGACAAGGCTTTAAGTAAATTTGTGGATAAGATTAATGTAGGTAAGGAAAATTCTGTGTACATAATATTCTATCAAAAAAAGTCCAAATACTTTAAATTCCAAATTATATGCAATGAATTACCGATATTTATTGCGTTTTTTATCACTCGCTAAATAAAATTATTCATTTTTATTTTTATGTTGCTGAAATCTATATAAATTCTCTTGATTAACTGTCCATTTGCAAATTATTATTCCTGAGATTTGGCTTTAAATGGCCACATTACAATAATAATTACTCATGAAAAATAAAAGAATCTACAGTATATTTGCAGTGCCAAAATTTATGTGGATTCTTGAATATGACACTTTTTTTCAGAAAAATATGAAGGCCCAACTTTGCCCAATGCAGCTGCAGCAGCTTTAGTTCATGCTGGAAAGAAAATGGATAGTGACAGGTGATTAGTCTGTTTTATGCAGAATGAATGTGAAGAACATCTTATTTTAATTTTTTAATTTTCTCTCATTTTGTCAAGATCTTAAATGATTCAGAGACCAAATATTTACTGTATACAGGGTTATTTTTGCCCTTATTTATTTTTCACTCTTTTACACTTGGAAACAATTTTGCCCCAGATTATATTGTGTTCTTTGCATTCGCCCCATTTAGGTAGGGCGAAAGGGACAAAAATATAAAGGGGGCAAAATTTTCACGGTATACAGTATTGGTTTTCTTTCCTTTTCTTTGTAATAACATTGATACATATTCCAGAGTGAAGTCTAAGGACAAGAAGGACCGTGCTACAGCGGAGCAGGTAATGGACCCCAGAACACGGATGATCCTCTTTAAGTTCCTCCAGCGGGGACTCATCAGTGAGATTAATGGTTGTATCAGTACCGGAAAAGAGGCCAATGTTTATCATGCCACAACACATAACCAGGGGGATCGAGCTATCAAGGTTCAGTAGTCTTATTATTGTATACAATGTATGTGGTTACATTGAAGTTTGTAACCTTTAATTATAAAATGAGTTTGCAATGGCTGAGGAGACATCTGAAGCATTTGCTTTTGTCATTAGAGTAAGTTGAAAATGGCTAAAAATAGAGATCTTGTATCATATTTTAAAAAGTTCAACAAAAATAGAATACTGTAGAATTACTTTTTTCCGCTTGGTATTATTTTATGCTATGTATGGGGTCACAAATTTTCCGCGGCAATTTGTCCAAGCGTTCTTAATATTAATGGAAGGCATACAGTGACAGTTTAAGAAATCCGCGTAATTTTCTACCCGCGAATTAAACAGAAATTGTGATTTCGCGGAATTATGACCCCGCGGAAAAAAGTACTTCTACAGTACCTTTGATTCCACAACTTGGTGAACAACAACTACAGATCAATTTTGTTGCTCTTCATGATGTTTTGTTTTCAAGCTATCATTATTTGTTTTATTTGTAGGTATACAAAACTTCTATCCTTGTTTTCAAGGATAGAGACAAATATGTGACTGGAGAATATAGATTTCGCCATGGTTACTGTAAACACAATCCAAGGAAAATGGTTAGAACCTGGGCAGAAAAAGAAATGAGGAATTTAACCAGGTATTGTTAAACAAAATGTAAACTTACTACATTTGTAGATCTTTTCCACATTTAAATACTGACTTACACAGCAAAAGAGATGTTAATTTTATTTTCAATAGAAGTTTGTATGATATATTTTTAAATAACTAATGTTGTACAAAATAAATTTTGAAAAATTATCCAGGATGTACCAGGCAGGCCTTCCTTGTCCCGAGCCAATATTCCTCAGAAGTCATGTGCTGGTCATGCAGTTCATTGGTACAGATGGATGGTAGGTGCTTGTTTCTTTGATGATATAAATCTAACTCTGATATTGATTAAGATCAGAGTTACTTTGAAAGTGTTATTATGTTAAACTTTGATTTTTTTTAAGTGGAAATGCCAACACAAGAATAAATTTCAAAAATAAAAGAAAATGGACAAGAAATTGGCTCCATTTATAAGAAACTTGATTGCCTAAATTTATTTCAATTGACTATTTCTTTGGATAGGATCTTTAAGCACTTGAAAACAAAATGTGATAAACGCTTGGTTTGAAAAAATGAAATATTGTTTTAGGCCAGCACCTCTGTTGAAGGACTGTGATATATCAGAAGCAAAGGCCAGAGAATTGTACCTGGAGTGTATACACATTATCCGCACTCTGTACCACACCTGTCGACTTGTCCATGCTGATCTCAGTGAATTCAATATACTGTAAGTCTTATCCATGCTGATCTCAGTGAATTCAATGTACTGTAAGTTTTCGAATGAGCAGCTTTATTAACTAAAGATCTGACAAGAGATCATTTCAGAAGATGTTTTGGTATTAAATACATATATTTCAGGACCATTCAGTTCATAATCTTGGTAATGCTTATTGATTAGTCAAGGCAATAGATTCAGAACATGGCAGAAAATATAAGGTAATTTGAAAATTGAATATTCCTTTGTATAATTATAGATTTGTATTTTCAGGTATCACAATGGAGGGGTGTACGTGATTGATGTCTCTCAGTCAGTTGAACATGACCATCCCTGTGCCCTAGAATTTCTCAGGAAAGATTGCACAAACATTACAGGTAAATAGACAAGGTTTAAATATACATTTATTGTAAGTTAATCTCAGCTGCGATTTGGCTTGGCTGATGCCTTTGCTGAATCTGGGAGAGTCATTCATAATTCATGTCTGGAAACTTTGGTTGGTTCAAAACTGAAATCAGATGTCTTTTCATTATTTCTTTGTCAAATTTTAAAATTAAATGTCTTTACTAGAGTTCTTCAAAAAGAAAGACGTCAGCACCCTGACAGTGAAGGAGCTGTTTGACTTTGTTACTGATGCCACCATTACAGAGGATAACATTGACCTTTACCTCGAGAAAGCTATGACCTTGACCTCACAGAGGACCACCAATGATGTCACAGAGCAGGAAAAGATTGATGAGGAGGTATATTTTGTAAAAATTCAGACAGAAGTGCTAAATGATTTTTAGAATTTGCATTTATTCGGATTATTATAAATTTCATTCTAACTATTTACTCAGTGTTGATTGATTTGGATGTATAGGTTTTCAAGCATTCATTCATTCCACGGAACCTAGATGAGGTGATTGACTTTGAGCGTGATGTCATTTTGGCCAAGGAAGGACAGACAGATGGGGTAAGTGCTTAGTGGACAGAATATTTTTAGAATTGCTGCATGTCCAATTAGTGCAATTTGCTAACCTTTAAAGTACAATGTACAAATTAATATCATTACACAGGTCATTTCATTGGCACATTGTTAAGTGGAGGGATTAAATAATATAAATGGGGACTTAACAACTTACAGATATATATTCTGTTGTATTAAAATATTAGATAGTTAATCTCTCATTTAAAGCATTTTTATTGTCACACTTTGCAGATGCTATACCATACTCTGATGGGATTACAAGAAAACCTGGAAGGAGTGAGAACAGTAAGTTACCTCCCCCTTAGTCTGATCAAGATTTCCTCCCTCTTTTATAAAGATTTTGTTAATTCTAAAAAGAAGGTTGACAGTCTTCTCTCTCATTCAGATTTGATTTGCGGTTTAATAATGAAACTGGTAGTTTTTACAAACAGTTTTATACATTCATTTGTAGAAAATTTTGAATGCTTTTATTATTGCATTGATCTTGACATACATCTACAATTTGTTTGACTCTTACAGCAACCAGCTCTATTGGCTGACAATGGTGAAGATGAAACAGAAGGAGGTAACTGTGATAGTGATGAGACTGACAGCAGTGAAGGAGATGATCAGGAAGAGGGGGAGGAAGAGGAGAATGAAGAGGAGGATGACAAGGAAGATAACTCTAAAAAGTACATCCGACCCAAACATGAGACAACTGAGAGCAGAAAAGTAAGTCCAGGGAAAGGAAATGAGTTGAATGAGACAAGACATATAAAATACCTTGTCCATATGCAAGCTTTCATGGCTAATTCTAGAGATCATGGTAATACATGTATTCAAATTAACAATATATGTGTTTTCAGACATATTCATTGGGAGATGTTTTCATCATGTATGGAGTATTTGATTTAATGTTGATGAAAGATGACAACAAAACAACTTTCAGTTACAAAAGTTTACATATCAAATTTTATTTGATTTTCAGGAAAGAAAAAAAGAGGTTAAAGAGGAAAGAAAAGAAAAAAGAAAAAACAAGGTTCCAAAACATGTTAAAAAAAGAAAGGAAAGAATTGGTAGACAAGGCAAGAAAACCTGATGATGGACATATTCATAGCATTATAAGGATATGTTTCAGTGGTGAACAGTCCAGCACAATGGAAAGTTTTCTGTTCTGGAATGAGAACAGGCCCCAGGCTTCACAGGATTCATTCCCAGCAGTATGATCAAATAGTTCCGAGGACTGGAACAAGATAATGAAATACCATGAACCATGAAATACCATAAAAATAATATTCTGTGATATTTCGCAGTGACTTCCTACAGCAGTAAATGTAGCCTGCGTGCACATTCAGTCACTATTATTGAAAATTCATATCAACTGTTGATTCTGATTCTATTATTAAAGGTTAATTTGTGTTATGTGTATATGGTGTAGGGGATTCATTTATATGTATGATCTTAGAGAATTTTTAGTAATTGAATGTGAATTTTATCTGTGTCCTTTTACATTACTTTGTGACGAATGACTTTCATGATTATTTATAATAAAAAGATGTTGAAATCATCAAATGCATTGGGATTTCTCAAGGTTTGGAATTCACAATTTTCTCCACTTATAACGCTTTATACTACTAATTATTAAGTGCTCAGTTCTTTTCTAGAAAATTCATGCTTTTTTGTGCAGTTATCTTTATACTGCCTTTCTCTAATAGCTTAAAAAATTGCATGTTTCTTAAATACTTGGTATTACAACCTAATTACGCTCCTTTTGATCACATGTATTTTTGTTTTAAGTGTATGAGGATATACAAAATATAGAGAAGAAAGACATCGAACCCTGGTTTGTTTATTGAAAATTGGTAAATTCAGTTAAATCCCTGTCAAAAGATCCAAAGATCATATCTTAGATTTGTTTATAAATCTCCTCTTATCCAAAGAAAAACTGGAGAAGGGATGCTTGTGCTGAGCGAAAGATAGTTGAGGAGGCAGGTATGGCATAAATTTGGCTTGATTGTTCTTTTATTGGATCATTTATTTTGCTTTGTATTGGTAGAAAATGTTTCCTCAGTTGCAAAAATTAAACATTATGGACTGATTGCAAATAGTCCTGTAATAATTGGTTTACACCTACCCATTAAAGTTACCACTTAGCTTGAGCTGAATGAATGGCTAGAAAAGTTGGACAAGTCTCCTTTTAATAAAGAATTTTAAAATAAAATAGCAAATAGGCTTTTATTTAAATAAGATTAGATTAGAGAATTATTTAATTCTAGTTACATACTATTTAAGCATGAAATATATAAAAAAAAAATATTTTTCAGAAGGCATCATTAAAAAGGTCATTAAATGATAATCAAATCTTTTGTCTCATTGATCACCTAGATAATTTTTTGATCTCTGATTATAAATGAACATGAGGTCTATTTTCTATCAGATTTGTCTTAATATTCTATTATTAAGACTTTAAATGATAAAACATTTGTTTATCCGAACATTTTAAGAACAAGTTAACTTTGTACTGAATCAAGCACCTTACTTACACTGATTGTTTATACCCACTTTTTGACCAAAGTCTGCATGTTGCACATGGTATCGTAAAATAAGAATGATTTCGTGGATATGGACGCAAATTAAAAAACACAGAAGAAAACTTATCTATGGAGGAATATTTTTTGGAGGTATTCACATCTAGTTATCAGTTGTGTAAGATCAAATCAAAACGTTACCATAAGTTCATGTACACTAAAAACACTCACACACACCTAAAAATAAATCTTTTGGTTAAAATTTGAAAATCAATGTGCTCAATACATATTTACCTTTTATCACAGGTGTGTATATGGCATATAGATATGCTCACAAAAGAATCAAAGAAATACAGGAAAAAGAAGCAAATGAATGTTTAACACATGCCAGGTAAGAGAAGCCTGTTAAGAGAAGTGTGCAGTATATAGAATGGCAGCTGTGCATTGGCATATGTAACAGACCATAGTCCGAAAGTCTGATGCTGTTTTCTGTGCCAAACCCAGATGGTTTGGTGTTGGTAAATCTGTAATTACAATTTGATATAACTGATTTTTTAACCGATTTTGCAAGTTCGATGGTCACACCAAAAAGGAAGGGGTAATCAAACTATTATTAAAGAAAAAGTAATAAACATGCGCTCTTGAAACTTAAAACATAGAAATTTGAGAATTTCTCCAATATTTTTATTATGTTTTCATGTGAATCCATTGTGTACGTCATATATTGTAATACTCTAAAGTGTTTGATTTCTTGCATTTTGTCTGACAAGACGCCAATAGTCCAAAATGCTATTGTAGTAAACTTTAAAGTTCATTTTCCTATATAATTTTATAGTAAATGTAGGAGACGTCACAAATAATTTGACATCAGTTAATGTACATATATGGTATTAAAATGAAGAGTTTCCTATTTAGTTTTCACACAATAAAACATTCAAAAGCCATCATTTCTGAATTCATCCTCACATTCATTTTCATTGATTATGCTTATTGCTTGCACCTTCTAGTGATTGGTCATAAATTATGGATTAGTTCTTGCAACCAATCAGGGATCAACTTGAGTTAGGAGGTGTGTACAATTTACCTTGAGTGCAGCTGTCAACTAGATTGTGATATAACGTGAAACTTTACGGTCAGCTGCAAACAATAGTATTGCTTGCACCTTCCAGAGATATTAGGATTAGTTCTCGCACACCACTTGACTGATTAGGTTTAGTCCTTGCTTCCTCGCACACTAATCAAGTTATTAGGGTTAGTCTTAATTGCATCCACCATCATCAACATTGGAACACAAGATATCTAGGTTATAGATGTTACACACTTTTCACACTTTATAGATGTTACACACTTTTCGAGTGATTAGGGTTAGTTTCGCACCTATCTGAGAGATAAGGGTTAGTTTTCACATAATGATATTTATTTATACCTATTTAAGACCTTGGCATGGCGCGACATTGAGGTTTGGTGTAATAGTACTAAGACATAATAAACATCAATTGTTTTCTGCACCCTCGGACTTTAGCATGTCAGACCATCGGGGATTGGTGCAGACCATCGGACTTTGGAGACCCATCGCATATTAATTTACTGTTCTGTAATTTTAAGATATACTTATATCTTGTTGCAGGAGACAGCATCATTTTGATAGCAATCAAAGAACATGCAATATGACAGGTATGTGGTAAATCAAAAAGAATGGGTGGACTTAACTGGCCAGAAAAAATACCATAAATTTAAGTTTCATAAAATGTTTATTTTTTTCCATCATATAAACCTCGGATATCTTAACCGTGTATTCATGGTACGGATGTGAATTTTAAACGCTCTTTTCAAGGTAAAATAAATAAATATCGAAGGAATGGTACCTGAAGATTTCTTGAATATCAATAGATAATCAGGGTGGCGCGTTTTTCATCATCTGAATACATAGTTAGCACATGTTTGTCGGCTGTTCTTAAGAAAACTGTAGTTGTATATTGAACAAAATAATGTTATATTAAAAGGAGAAGAGCCGACAAAAGTGTGCTCATACTTACTTTAACAAAAAACGTGTTCAGAACAAACTCCTCGCTTCCATTGTTATGTCTTCGATTGACCAGTTAAATATTACAATTCATCACGTGATGTCCACTTGCGAGTGTACTCGTGAAAACAGTTACATTGTATTCTTTTCAACCTGACCTCGATCTAAATCATATCTTTGAGCGTATTTTGTTGCCGTTTTCAGAATTTAGCAAATTGAATACTGTTTTAATTTTGCGTGTCATCACATTTTTAAAATAATTTCATACTGACATCGCTGTAATATGCTAAAAATGTATTCGAATTTTTGGAGAGAGAGAGAGGGGATAGAGAGATGTCAACAATGACGCCGATCGATAGCCCCCTCTCCTATAAATATTGATTGTGTGACATAAAAACCACTCCTGGTACATGTCGAATTCCAGAAGACGACACTCATGTGTCGTTGCTTCAACTTTGATACATGACAACAGGGCATTGTTTTTGCACAAATGTTCCACCTAATATAAGCAAGTATATGTAGCTCTTTCCATTGCTCTTAATATATTTTAGATTTACTTCATTTACAGCTTGGTAGAGGAGTCGCAAAAAGATCCAAAATAGGGCGTTAAGTCCACCCATTCTTTTTTTACTGGATACATCATCTTCGCTAGCCAAGGGTGACGATCCACGGTGTTTCTCTATTCACAAACACCGTGTATCGTCACCCTTGGCTAGCGAAGATGTGGATACATTGGCATTTAACAAAATTTTTTTAAAAATCAAGTTTGGTCGATATATAAGAAATAATATATTTTTCATTTTAATAATATCCAACTGCTTGTTTAATTTATCATTTTATGTTCACTCATCTTGATTTCAGTTCTCTCCATGGTACCCAATTTGAGGGAAATCCTCCAGCAGATGTTTGATACTGAATCTATCACAGAAAGTCTGAAATCAAAGTATGCAATTTTTTACTGAAAAAAAATTTAATATGTTTCTGAGCTTAATATAATGTGAAGTACTAAGGCTGAAACTCAAAACCTCTCAGTAGCTTTTAATTAATAAATAAATTTGATTTTCAAGGATATCATTCAGAATAATAAAGAGGATGAGTAAGAGAGAATCAGTTGACATAAATGACCATATGCTTATACCTGTAATAATAATTCACAAATAACTTATTTGATGCAATTATTTGGGTATCATTAGAGTGAATTAATGGTCAAAACCAAAAATCAATTTGTTGGCAATAGTGTGTAAAGTTGTTTAATTGTAAGGAACTTCAGTTCTTCATTTATGAAATAGCATATACCGGTAGTAGTGATGCATCACGTATCTTTCAGTCCCAGCAATAAGTTGGAATTGTGGGAAGAACTGAAGATCTTGAGTAAGTATTTTATATTTTTTTTAAAAGGAGTGGTCATTTGAACTCATTTTGATTTCTATGAGAGGCAGAGAATGCAAATTTTTGTGCCAAACCTGTCATTTAGCAGTGTATGAAATACCCCTCTGCCCAACTGACCAAGATGCACAAATTTTGTTCCTGGCAAACAGATTTGCATGTATCAACACCCAACTAGATGTGTAAAAATTTCCCTGAATTAAAATTTAGATATTTAATGAATTTTTCTCAAATCACCTAATAGTATCAGTAGCAAAGTGTAACAAGCAAACAGCTAGAATTCGTCTGTCTATAAGTTCAGGATCAAAGATCTGGTGATCTGGGCCTATTCACATTATTTCTAAAAGAAATTTATTAAAAACACTCAAATATTTTCTTGAGCTACTTAATTTTTTGCAGGGTTGATAGCACTTAGCCCGGCATGTGTAACTTTTTCAGCGAATCTTAACATTTAGTTTTCTCTGTTTTTAGCTCTACTGGTCAGAGACCAGAAGAGCTTATGCGATAGTAATGCGTCCGGCGTCCGTCCGTCTGTCTGTCTGTCTGTCTGTCTAGCTGTCTGTCTGTCCGTCTGCCTGTAAACAATTTTTCAAAACGCTACTCCTCCTACAATTTTAGTCTGATTTCAGTATTACTTGGCACACAAGTAGACTACACTAAGATACATAGAATAGTGCATCGGTTTTTAATTTCTATGAACAGTGTTGCCATGGTGACTAAAAATAAAATTTTCTGTGAAATCCCTTAAAAACGCTACTCCTTCTACAGTTTTGGTTTGATTTCAGTATAACTTGGCACACAAGTAGACTACACTAAGATACAAAGAATAGTGCATCGGTTTTTGATTTCGATGAACGGTGTTGCCATGGTTACTAAAAATAGAATTTTCTGTGAAATTCCTGAAAAATGCTACTCTTTCTACAGTTTTGGTCTAATTTCAATATAACATGGCACACAAGTAGACTACACTAAGATACATAGAATAGTGCATCGGTTTTTGATTTCGATGAACGGTGTTGCCATGGTTACTAAAAATAGAATTTTCTGTGAAATTCCTGAAAAATGCTACTCTTTCTACAGTTTTGGTCTGATTACAATATAACTTGGCACACGTGTAGACTACACTAAGATACATAGAATAGTGCATCGGTTTTTTTATTTCGATGAACGGTGTTGCCATGGTTACTAAAAATAGTATTTTCTGTGAAATTCCTTTAAAACGCTACTCCTTCTACAGTTTTGGTCTGATTTCAATTTAACTTGGCACACAAGTAGACTACACTACGATACATAGAATAGTGCATCGGTTTTTGATTTCGATGAACTGTGTTACCATGGTTACTAAAAATAGAATTTTCTGTGAAATTCTTTTAAAACGCTACTCCTTCTACAGTTTTAGTTTGATTTCAAAATAAGTTGGCACACAAGTAGACTACACAAATATACATAAAATAGTGCAATGGTTTTTGATAAGTACAAACCAGTAGAGCTACAGTCTCGACAGAGACTTCTGGTTAAATTTCAGGCATGACAAGGATGGTGTGTGTGATCTATGCCTGTAGTATGATGTCACTCATTGTCAGGATCCAGCTGAATGTGATTGGTGGATATATTTATCTACAGAATAACAACACCTCCAACCAAGATAAGGAGGTGTGTTACATGTTTCCTAAAGTTTGAGCAAATGAAGGATAATGCACATCCTAATAAAAAGTCTCCCTGTTATGCTTTTACAGTTACATTGCTTGTTAGAGCATGTTACAGTCTATCCCAAAAGCACAGGTCCGTTGGACAAAACAGGTGAAAATCTAATGGTCCGATGTACTGACTAGTAAAATCGGTCCGTTTGTCCGAGGTTTGTTTTGGTTGGGTTTTAAATTATATATTTCCTATTTCATCATATAGACGCTTTAACTAATACCAAAACACATTATTAAAAAGGTTTTGTTGATTGTGATTGTTTCAAAACCTACTTCTGCCACGATGTCTCTAAAATATTTCGATGAAACACTACCAGGGAAGAAAAAGAAACATTTCAGTTAATCTTTTAATGTACGTGTTATCTGTTTATTGATTCATATGCTATGAACATGATGAAGTAACATCGTTATGATCATTATATGATAAAAGTTTTGGACCGGTGAAAATTCCTTAGATCCTGTGAAATCTTTTTAACTGTCTGTCTGAATGTCCTGTGGCGATTTTTCGTTTTGATGTTACATTTGAAATGTTGTTTTTCTTTTTTCAGCGGCCTGAAAGCTTGCCCGGTCATCCGAGTACACCTGTGCTACCAAAATCTGTCCAGGAAAAATATCTGTCCGAAATCAAATATCTTATGGACAATGGTCAGTCTAGCTGTCCTGTGCTTTAGACAATTATTGAGCTAACAAGAAGTTTGAAAGAAAGTTTCTGCTTATTTTGTAATATTTATGTTCAAGGCATTATTTTCTTGCTTTTAGGTATATGTCAGCTTGGTGAACTTATAAAATCTGCAGTTAAAAAAGAAATTTCAAGGTATAAAATAATTCTGTTAATGAAAAGTCAAGTAACATTTACAAATAAAAAATGATGAAACTGGTGCATGTTTCTCAATGTGTTTGGTTTTCTAACTTAGCATCTCCCTGAAGGAGCGACTGAGTCATCAAAATGTGGAGTCCTGTTTACAACACATCAGAGAGAGACTAGAGACCAGCCCAGAAATTTCTAATCTATCCTCTCCAACAATACAGCTGTGTCCTTACATGTTTCCCCCAGAAACTCCCACTGTATGTTTTACTTTAAAAACTTCATTTGTATAATAAAGCAAAGAAGATTGACAAACTCTTGACATCTACTTGTTACATCTTTAATGTGAAAATATTCTTTAAAGGAAATCCAAGGTACAGATGATGAAATACATAAACATCTGATGCAAGAAACAAGAGATATTTTAGAGAGGTAATGCACAATTTGAAGTCTTTCTTTTGACTTTAATATCTGACAAACTTCTAATGCAAGAAACAAGAGATATTTTAGAGAGATAATACACAATTTTAAGTACCCGTATCTCTTTTATTCACTTTTACCTTTTATCCGGAGAGAATAAAAGACTAGTACCAGTTTTATGTTATACCTACAGATGTCTTTTTTATGTTCTTCAGTGCTGACTTCCACACAGTGCTGAAAACATGTCTAGATCGAGGATTCCACAAATTGCTGGATTTACTTGCTGAAAGCTACAAGACAAGCCTGCAATCTAGTGATTTAAACAATAGGTGGGATATTAAGTTAACTGTAGATCACCAAATTTTTGTGACACCTTATTTTCATGGGAAATCATGAGGTATTCAGAAGTGAGACAAAATGTTCTGAATTGTTCATAAGTTTAGATGGCTGATTTACTTACATAAATATGAAAAAAATATATACAAGATTAAGTTTCATGAGCAGACTTTCACACATAGTTTTACCATAATTAAATTATCACAAATAAACAGTGAATTACTGGTACAGTTATTAAAATTGCAACACAGATAAACTTTTCATTATATTATATAACATATAGTAAAACAAAATTATGGCAAATGTGCTTATAATATTTAGGCTTTAATAAAGAGAAGTGATTTTCATTTCCTGTGGGTCCAAAATGTATTGAAAACTTTATACGGGATATAGGATTTATGTTCAAAATGAATCAAATTGTTCATCTGTGGCACTTTATAATGAGTGCATTTTATTGTTATCTTTCCTTTGTGATTTTGAGTATCTATTTTGTAAATACATTATTATATTTGAAGAACTACATTCAATTTGAAGTTACACTATGTATGAAATTGGAAACTTAGAGGTCTGGTTAACTTAGGATTTAAATTTTTGTGCAATTTTAATATGGTTGTTGGAATGCTTTTGCCAACTTTTATAACTTTGATTTTTTTTTATTGTCTTTTATAGTCAAAGTACAGATTATTTACATGGAGGAATCCCCATGGCAAAACTTATTCCTATTTTTAATGGCAGTCTGTACAAGCTCTGCAGCGATGCTCCTAATCCACTCATGCAGGTAAAAGCAGGGTTTCTTTTACAAAATATCTTCTTTTATGGACTATTTTAATTTTATTTTAAATAAAATTGAATTTCTTTAGATGGGATAAGAAATCCAGAGAGTTATTAAAATTATTTTACTACTGCTTTACACATAAAGCTGAAGTTTATGAGTGAGTTGTTCCCCTTTCTTTTCAGGAATTGCTACTACTGGAATCTGCCAAGACTTTAGCTGCCAATGTCTATGAAGCATTCAGCCAACCTCCCTCATGATTTATAAAACAATTTATTAAAAAAAAGAAAACTATTTCTTACAATAATTACATGCATTGTGTACATATAATTTAATAATAGTCTAAGAAAGAAATATGCTATAAATTGTAATGTCTAATATCTATTTTATTCTTTTTTTTTCCTTCAAAGGATGAGTGTTTTATAATTGTATATAATTTTGTAATTAAACTTTAAGTAGTATTTGCAAACTTTTTGTTGTAAAATTATGCTGAATTTGTGTTAAAAAAGGAGAGAGAAAGAAAAGCTATCAATGTATTTAGGAGTTCATCCAATGTCATTCTTGCTTTTGTACTTTTCTCCATTAAAGTATAATAAACATGTTATTTACATGTATCGTTGATTTATTTGTGCCTAGCATTTACATCAATTCATTTAAATTACTGAACTTATAACTATTCTGATCAATTTACAATCCCCAGGTTATTCTGGTATCCCCTCTCAAGCACCTGTTAGGGGAGGAACCCAAATCAACTTATAGTTGATTAACTCCTACTATGTCAGTTGTTACAGACAACCATGCATTTGGAAAGAAGAATGAAAAATCTTTGTGGTAGTGCATTTGTATTTTAAATCTGAAAATATAAAGTTCATCAGTATTTCAGCATACCTGGGTAGTTACATTTTCATTTCACACAAAAAGTAAAGTTGTAAATTTCAAAACAATTTCATTGGGGTTATGGTCCAGTTTGTTTTACAACATCCTTTAAGTATCTTGGAAGAGGTAGGGAATCTGCATGAGACCTATAATTCCAACCCAGTAAACGGGCTGTTCTGAACTGACAAAGGTGGAGTAAAGATAACGGAAACTGTGCACAGTTCCTGATATAACTTTGCATTTCCTCATTCTTATTGTTTGTAGCTGGGAAAGAATTGCTACGAATCCACTGTTCTCTACTGAAATTATATCCAGCATCCAACAGTATTTGTATGAATTGTTTGTCCATCTTTAGAGCAACGAAGTAACATATACTTTGCCCTGCTTTGTTGGGGATGTACATATCGGCCCCTGATTGTAGGAGGTATTTACAAATAGCTGGTCTGTTGAACTGAACGCTGAGGTGAAGTGCTGTAAAACCATCCTGAGTCTGTGTGTTTAGTGGAATGCCACTCTGCACAAGGTGTTCAACGATTTTGAGATGACCACTACTTGTAGCAATGTGCAAGGCATTCTCTCCTTTCATTGTTCTGCAAGATAAACATGGTCCTGAGAGTGACATTAGTTTCAAAATTGACAAATGTCCATAATTGGCTGCAGTGTGGAGAACATTCCATCCCTCTTCATCACACACCATTGCATCTCCTCCATATTTCAGCAACATGCAGCATACGTCAATGTGTCCAAAGCAGGTAGCAGCGTAGAGTGGAGTAAAACCATCTCGTTGTGCACCATTTACATTGGCCCCTTCTTTTAATAGAATCTCAGCAATATCACAGTTTCCAAATATAGCTGCCCAGTGTAGAGAGGTACGCCCATCACTGTCTTTGATATCAACATCGTGAAAATGTTCTAGAAGAAGCTTCAGGAATGCAACATGTCCTTTGGATGCTGCAATGTGTATTGGCATCCTCTGCCAAACATCATCCCGCACATTCGGTGTGTCAAGAATGCAATTGTCACGAAGAAGAATAGATAAAGCCTCCACGTTTCCTTCTGTTGCTGCTTTACATATAGGAGTTGTACCATTGATGTAAAAGTTGGGAGATACATTATCTCGGCATATCATTTGTTCGAGTGTTGTCATGTCATTTTCTTCGATTGCTTCTATAATCCGCTGTTGTCTTTCACTTGGTTTCTCCATTCTTTTCGATAACTATACCATAAAGTTTGTTCAATTATTCGCAGTGTTTGCTGTGTTGACAGTTTCTACGTTAAAGTCTTTACAAACGTTTTAAGGATAAAGATCTACTTTCATTTTTAGATGAATTTATAGCACTTGAATTGATAGCGATAATTTTTCCGGAAATGTTCTGTGCTATAGGACCAAAGTGCTCACCTGAATCGTGAGCAGGTTTTAATGATTTTAATGCTCCCGTAACCGAAGTTTTTGTCGTGCCCGTCCATCTGTCTATCTGTTAGTCCACAAAAAATTAACCTTTAATTGCCATAAGTCTTGATTTAGTGGAGTTATGTCTTTCATATTTCACATGTGTATTCCTTGTGACAAGACCTTTCTTTGGGTACCACCAAATCTGACTTTTTGACCCTGACATGATTGGAGTTTGACCCACTTTTACACAAAAATCCCAAACTTCTACTTTGGCCATATCTTTTGAACAGTAGATACCAGGACATTTATACTTCACATATGAATTCTTTGCAGAAAGAACCTTTCATTGGATACCAGCAACCTTGACCTTTTGACTTGACCTTGGAGATTTGTGTACTTATGAAAAACTTTAAACTTGGCCATAACTTTTGAACGGTAATTAAGTGACAGGGCTTTCATAATTCACATATGTAATCCTTGTGAGAAGACTCTTCATTTGATACCGAAAACTTTGACCTTGACGTTTGACCTATTTTAAAATTTTTAACCTTGGCCATAACTTCTGAATGGTTAGGGTTAGGGCTTCCATACTTTACATATGTATTCTTCGTGGCAAGATCTTTCATTGGATACCCATTACCTTGGCCTTTTGATCTTGACCTTGGAGATTTTTGTACTTATGAAAAAACTTTAACCTTGGCCATAACTTTTGAACATTTGTAATCCTTGTGAGAAGATCCTTCATTGGATACCAAGAACTTTGACCCTGACCTTGGAGTTTGACCTACTTTTAAAAAGCAAACCTTGATCATAACTTTTAAAGGGTCAGGACTAGTACTTTTGTACTTTACATACAAATTTAATCCTTGTGACAAGACCTTTCATTTGATAGCAAGACCTTTGACCTTGGAGTTTGACCTACTTTTTAAAATTTTTAACCTTGGCCATAACTTTTCAAGGGTTAGGGTTAGGGCTTCCATACTTCACATATGTATTTTTGTGCCAAGACCTTTCATTGGATACTAATTACCATTATCCTTGACTTGGAGATTTCCATACTTATGAAAACACTTTAACTTAGGCTTACTTTCATGTTTGAAATTGTATTTCCAGTTAGAATACCCTACTTTTGGTACCAATATATTAAATATGCGAAAAGTTTAATCTTTGCTATGTTGCCATACGGGGGCATCAGTGCTTCACAAACACATCTTGTTTTCACATGAATTTATTCCTTTGCAAAATTAAGATCATACCTTGTGGTCCCATCCAACCCCCAGTTGGCATGATTTGAACAAACAAATGCATAGGCGTAGTCACAGGGGGGGGGGGGGGAGCGGGGGCACTAGCCCCCCCCCACCCACTTTCAGATCGGGGGGGGGGGGGGGGCAAGAGTATGTCTGTGCCCCCCCCCCCCCCCACTTTTTAATGAAGAACAAAATCACAGCTATTTTGAAATAATATTAAACCTCATTTTATGGCATTTTTTTTATGTTCAACAACTGAGTAAGCATTTCTCTTGAAGTAATAGTTGTATAATATAGTAATGTAATATAGTAATTAAATCGTCAAGACCTGCTCCCCCCCACTTTTTTCCCCCAACATTATCTTTACTATAGGAAATGTTCATTGAAGGGATAGTTGCCCCCCCCCCCCCCCAACACTTTTTGACCATAGTATAGTGATATCGAGGAATTGTGGAAAAAAATTGGATTTTAAAGTAACTTGCCTTTGAAAAAGTTGGCCACTAACCCCCCCCCCCACCCCCCCCCCACCCCCCCACGAAATCGGATTTTCGAGTTTGGGAAACTTTCAATTTTGGTGGGTTTTTTTTTTTTTTGCTTGTCAAAGAATTTCTGGAGCTGAGCCCCCCCCCCCCACTTTTAAGTTTGTGACTACGCCCCTGTTATGCTACATGAGTGCGCTTGATCTTATTTTTTTAAGACTGTGCTCCTATTATGTAAATGTTCCAAAGTAAAGCTGTGCCTGCCGCATGCCCAGTGAAACCCCACCTATTTTCCGGGTCATGTTTTAAATAATTAAGCTTCAATTTCTCTGTGTAAAAAAGGCCGTTTTTTTTATAACTACCCAGTGTAAAGACAACCATTTTTAAATGCCTCACCCAATTTTCACCATTTCTTTTTATAATAATATACCTATAGAAAGGTCGAGGGTTTTGCCCTATAATTCATTTGAACAAACTTGAATCCACTGATAGTACTCTATGCCAAGTTTTGTTGAAATTAGAGTCTTGTGGTCCCAAACAGAAGATGAAATTTTTTTGTTTTCAAAAAGCAACTATAAAGCTCATTTGAGCCTTCAGTTCAGGTTAGCTAAAATGTTCAATCAAAAAGAAACTTTAACTTATTGATCTGTAAGTCGTCAGTAATGAGAAACGTACCAATAATTAGATTACACATGTATTATCAGGCGCGGATCCAGGAATTGAAGTTAGAGGGGGTGCCAAAAGTAGGCAAGGGGTCTGTGGGTCGCCTTGAGGCCCCCAGTGGGTCCAGGTCAAAGCCCTGGTGGGGGCCTGGGGGGCTAAGCCCCCGGAAGCTCCTGGGTTCTGGAAATTTTGTAGGGTAAAAATGAGGTCTACCAAGTAGACATATTTACATTTTCTAGACGAAACTGTGATTTACGTAAACTTTGAAAATTTTAGGGGGGGGGGGGGACGCAGGGTGCACCCCCTTAAATCCGCCACTGATTATTTAAATTCATAAAAAAAAGAAAGCTTTGACAGAAAGACTGATAAAAAAGGGCTAACACTATAAAGTATGTGCCCCACAAAAAAATATGAATATAATTTAAATGATGTCTGGGTTGCATGAAATATTTAGGTAAAAAAAAAATATGACTGTTATATTCTTGGCCCAAAAAATTACTTGTTTCATGTACTAGGAATAGTTTATGCTAATTAGCAAATGGCCCATGTCATTTCAGACAAGTGTAAAACTATCATCATTACGTCCTGTGTGTACAGGACTTAACAGTATTTTAGATATTCTTTCCATTTCCATTTTTCTTGCAAAGACATGAAAATGTAAGTACTGTTCTTGTGAGTCTTCCTTGAGCTTTAATTACTAGTATTTATGTCAATCATCTCGAAAATACCATATACCAGTATATTTAAGATTTTTTAATGATTTAATTAAAATCAGTAACATTTACAGATCCAACTGTCACATAACTTTATTAATATATATCATTCTGATTTTTATGTAAAACATAATTCTTTGCAGTAAAACATGACAATGAATGAGAAAACAAGCTGATTCTCAGCAGAATGAAAAATTTTCAAGGTAAAGTGTTCCTGATATTCATTTAATTTTAGTAACAATAATTCAACAAAAATTTCAACAAGATAAGCATTGCCAATAGGTACACATTAATTCAAATTATCTATTTCTCACTTAGAATATGTTCCTGCTTAAATATTATGTATCCTTTTTTAGTAATGTATATTTTTTTTTTACTTTTTAAAATATCTATATTAGAATACAGGTATGTTTAAATTCATTTTGAAAAAAGATAACATAACAAACATTATATTTTAGTTGTACTTGTATCTTTTTTTCTGCCATTTTTGAGCTAAGCAAGAAAACTTTAGTGATAGTAATTAATAATCAATCAAAGATAACTGATCTACCTGAGAGAAAAAATTTCTATGAAAATACTGCAGTGGCAACTAATTACATGTACACTTCATACAACATATCTTAAAACATAATGTGAAATTAAAAAAATAACATTTCTTTATATATGGACTGGAATGTACAATTATAGTTTTAAAAATAGGATGGTATTAAATATTAGAGTTGACTGAGTAACTCAAATACTAGGAAGTGTGTAGATCAACAATTAGATTTTAAATTGAAATGTACAAAATTTGTCAATAAAGATTTTGATAATTCAGAAAAGCAGCAAATTCTACATTATGCAGAACTACAAGTGGCTAGTGCTGGCTTTCATGCTAACAAAATACAATCTGATATGTGATTCTGATTCAGATGTTTGCAAAAATTAGAATAAACATAAAGAAATTACAGCTATAATAAGACCTGGTAATAATCAGTAAATCTTAAATTCAAATTCCACCTAGACCTTAATAGATTTGGCTATAATGAGACAGAATAAAACAAAACAAAACACACACATGTTACAAAACATTAATGCATGATCTTTTAGAAATAAGTATTTAAAGCTTAACTGTATCCAAAAAGCACAGCAAAGCTTTTTATATGAAAATAACATCTATCATAATTCTAGAATAAACATCTAGGTAAATATACAAAGTACAAGAGCATCAAATTTTATTAAATACCGGTACATGTAACAGCATTTCCATCTTTATAACGCAATTAATATTGCCCTCCCTTGACAGAGTTCCTTTCTGCTAACATGTAACAGCATCAGAAGCATAATACCATACAGCATAGCCTGAGTATTCTTTTAAAGACAGAGAATTTGTCAAAAATTTGAATATATATACATACATAAGAAAAAAAAAATATTATGCAGCTTCAGTTCCAAAAATATAAAATGAATCACATAGTATTTGACACAATTCTGAATATAGCTTTTCAGAGTACTGAAAATATATAAGTTCAGTTTCTTTTTCTTTAATAGTGCAAAGTTTTATATACTACATAATAGTAGATAAAGTTGAAAGATAATGTAGAAAAATTTCACATTACAGGCAGATGATTCCAATGTTTGAATATTTTCATAAGATTTTACGGTAAGTTATACGAACAGTTATTAATTAATACCTCATTTCAAACTGACATGCAAATTCTTAATAGAAATGATGATTTTCATTTGTCATATGCTTAATAAATCATTGAAATATAAGTCTAAAATAATTCATATATTTAAATCTTCTGACTGACTTAGAATCTCACATTTTGAGCATAAGAAAATAAAACCAAGTTCAAAACAACACTAAACAAAGTATTATAAATAAATGCATACACATTAAGTACAGATCTGTACATGCATATATCACAATTTATTATACATTTACTAATCCAAATCAAATTAAATAAAAAAAAACCCAATTAAAATACTTCTTTTCAAAATATGAATGAATAATCCAGACAACTTTAATTTATGGGAGAAGAAAACACTGCTATGCATCAAATTTAAAGATGCAGAATAATCTCAATGAAGATATAAATATTTTTTAAAATATGGCCCTAAATTTCCAAAAATTGCTATAAAATAGCAGGCATAAAAAATTACTTCAAGTAGAATTTCTAAGATGTGGAAAATTTAATATTAAATAGTTATTGACTGGGTTTGACAACTTGGACCCCCCCCCCCCCCCCCCCCAAAAAAAACAATTGTTTGTTTGTCTTAAGCCGTTATAGACTGAAGGCAAACAGTTTGGTCAAGGGGTCCACAAAACATATTTTGCCTGAGAACACAGTCAATAAATGTTTTGTTAAATTACCTTTTAATTTTTATTTTGACATATCTTGCACTTGTTTTTATATTTCCAAAAATTGATATAATTTTTTTTTTACCTGCACTGCAATTTAGCCTGGTCAGTTCTATAAATGGCCAGAGTGTTCTGTTAAAAAACAACACAGACATGTCTTACATCACACTCAAGAGTTTTAACCCCCCAGTTTTTTTTTTTGATAGGAGAATGAATTAAATCATTGGGAATGTCAGACTGTTTAAAGTATAGATTTAGATAGGAAACAATTTTAAAAGGTATAACAATTTCCTTTCTTGCAATCATAATATTCATTTAAAATTGACAATGATTATTCATACCTGTACCTGTATGTATATTCTTTGATCTTTGTTTTAGTGTGTGTGTGTGTGTGTTTCCAATAATCTTATCAATATAAATTCATTGAATTGAGAAGGAAAAAGGCAATTTACAGTCAATTCTTGTATGTAAGCATCAATATACTTCCTCTGCCTAAAAATATTTAGCTTTTACGAAATTAAAAATTTCAAATGACTAATGGTGCAACTACACTGGAATACATATTCAAAATATATAAATACTGGAAAAATAAATATAAATATATATCGAAGATAAAGATTTATATGTTGGAATGTATCACTTTGTTTGTTTTGAATGCTGGTGATCAGAATAAATTTAAATTATTCTGCTGGGAAAATTAAAGAATCTTAATTTTTCTACTGCTTCATTACTTCAACATGACCATTATGAAAAGAGTTCACTTTTAGGTACAAGTATTAAACAGATCTATATATTATGATCACAAGCAATTTTAAAAACTTCCAAAATATTTCTTTAGAGTATGTAGTTACTGTGAAAATTACAATTTTTTTGTAATTTCAAAGTCTAAAACATCAAGTGCTGTATACTAATACTTAATCTTAAAAGTCTATCACAGATGGAGTTAAAGAACAGGATTGGGTTGCTCAAAACTCTGGTTAAGGTTTACCGTTGGTTAAATCTCTTATCCAGTGGTTAACTTTTAACCTTTGGTTAAATTCTGTTGCTCAAAATTTTTCCACTGGTTAACTTTGCTATCCAGTGGTTAAATATTGGCTAAAGTTAGCCATTCCACAGAGGTGGGTTAAGTCTCTTAACCAGTGGATAAATATGACTAAAAAATTATTATTTGTTGTAAATTTTGGGAGATAACAAAAGAAACAAAGGTTTATAGATATTGTAACCAAGAATTTAATGTTGATGAGTACATAAAAAGGCATATGCACTAATATAAAGACAAGTTGACGTGGTTTTGTAGCAATGTTAGGCAGGAATAACATCACAGTCAGGGATATGATAGGTTTTTATGTCTTCATCGTCAGCAGAAATGTTTTAAATGGGTTCTTTCAAGGATTAATCTGTTGGCATTACAGAGGATATTATCAAGCGGCCTTCCCTTGCTGAAAAATAAATAATTATTATAGGTATATTTTAAATAAAAATTACAAATGAATAAAATCGTTGGTCATTTGCATATAGGTCTAATAATGGATATAGATAAAGTGTTCTTTGGTTACCATACATCAATATTTAAAATCAATTGAGAATTGACCCCCCCCCTTCCCCGGACACACACACTCCTCTCCCTTTTCTAAAGATCTTGCATTATGTATTTGTTTTTCAAAATAATATTAGTTATCATTTCCTTCCCGATATTTTTATCTGCCTATTTTATCAAACTCCTTTCTTGTTGACTGCTGCATTAAATTTTAAATGCGTACCATTTCCTTTGATTTTATCATCATTTTGGCAAGGTCTCGGTGAGATAAAGTGAATAAAAATATTCATTCAAAATTAAATCTAGCATTGATTTTAAATATCTTTCCATAAGCATCAGGATTTTTTATCTTATTTTATTTTTTTTTTATTTTTGCAAAGATAGACTTTATATAGGCATTGAAAATTGGGGTTACCTTTTTTTAATTTGTTGGTTTAGCCCCCCTCCTCCACCCCCACCCACATTCAGTTGGCTACTCTACTTTCACAATGCTTCCGATGCATATGCTATCAATATTTATATAAAGATTTTTATCTAATTTCTACATGTATTGATGCTAATATTAAAAGGTGTTGTATTTATAAAATACACTTGGGATAATGCATTTTAGTTACACCGCAAAATTTAATTGTACGGAGCGAAATGCATTAGTGACGAACTCGCTATATCTACTTGCATATTCGACCATGACCTTTCTGTAATAATTTTAAAAAAGATGCTACCCACTTTCAGACAGTGTTAGTGCATTGTAATGCAGGATTACATAAATGTGATGAAAGTTATATCTTGTTTGGAAATATTTGACAAACCACTGGACTGAGATCTTTCTGTCAAGGTATGTATAAAAGCGATAATACAACAAGTGCGAATTTCCTCGAATAATAGCAGACGACGTTTACATGGTGTAAACAGTAAAGGTGTCCTGACTCCAATCAGTTATTATTTAGGTATGAAATGATACAAATTGATGTATTTGCCTCGTAATTATAGCTGTCTTGAGTAGGTATTGTCTTTAAAATATTTTCTGTAAAACTAAGATCTAACAGCTTAACGAGCATCTAGGTTTCTGCAATCATTCTATCCATCTTACCTGTGGTGCTAATCCTTTCCCATTCTATGTGTTTACAGTTACTGCATCTTCCACTTGAATTTTCAGCGAAGAATAATCCCAGCTGACTTGTGTGTTCCTCACTTTTTGCGACTAAAGCGTTTGTTTAGTTTTGATACTGTTACAATTCGATATTTCACCACTTCTCCATATACGGTTGTAACGTTAAAACGTCTCACTATTTACTTATTTGATATTTACCATGGTAGCCATTTTTGGGTTGACAACTGGACAAGTGTAATGCATTGTGGGATACTAACCAGTGGTTAAATCACTTAACCTGTGGTTAGTTAACCAGAGGCTAATTTTATTTTGAGCAACAAATATTTGACCAGTGGTTAGTTGGCCAGTGGATATTGAATTTAACCAACGGCTAACTTATCCAGTGGTCAAATTTAACCAGTGTTTTGAGCAACCCAATCCAGGAATGTACATAAAACAGTCTTGGACTCGACCAACTGTAGTTGCCAGCAACTAACAATGCCCTTGGAAAATAGTGGTGCCAATTACTCAGGTGGACCGATGGACAATTATTCCAAGAATCATTTCCACTATCTGAAATGTATAACAAAACATAAATAAAAGAAGAAAGAGTATAAGTACAAGTAAATGACAGGGGAATAAACAGGTAGCATGAGAGTGACTCAAATTCACAAAGAAGGGAGATAAACAGTATAGAATATTTCTATTACAAGATGTATCATAAAAATACTTTCTTTAATACTCATCATGAATTTCTTACTACAAGGTATAACTATAAATTTCTATTAAAAGAAGTAGCCTACCAATACTATACTCACCATGAAGACAGCAGTAACAATAGCCGCTGTACCAATGATTATCCCATTTTGCTTGATATATTCTTCCAGTTTGTCATAGCATCCCTTCAAAAACAGTTCATACAATTATAAGTTTGCATTCTTTCCACAATACAGCAAAACTCGGTTATAACGAAGTCACTGGGATCATTATGTTCATAATTCGTTATAACCGTAAAAGAAATTCATTAAATTCATATAGCTGGGGACTCAAGATGACCTCGCAATATCCGTGAATTTGCAATATCCATGTTCATACTAAACGAGTTTTACTGTACTGACAATAAGTAACTTAAAATATATGTATATGGTAAATATATCTCTGATTTGATTAAATGCTAAGTACTGTAGAAACACAAATATTCGTGGTGGATTAAATTTCGTTTATTTTGTTGTGAACAAATATCAATGAACTATCCCACACAAAGTTTTCTATGACTACATATTAAATAGGGTTACTTTCAAAACAACGAAATTAAATGCCAACAAAACTATTTTTGATCCCAAATCAATGAAATTTTATCCCCATGAAAATTTGTGATTCTATAGTATGTTTTTTGATTTCTGAGGAAAATTAATTTGCTTAATCTTGTAGTGTTAATTTTATTCTGCTTATTTAAACTTATTGCGTGATAGTCTTTCTTTTCATGGATATATTGTCAAGAAAACAACCACACAAAAACTTCATTAAAAAAAAATACCACACGCACAAAATTCACAAATGGAGTTGTTGAAAGAAATATTTCTGTTTCATGGATCAAGACTTTTTTCACCATAGTCTTATTTTAATGGATACTTGTGGCCATCAAAACTAAAACATCTGTAAAAATATTTGACATTCATAAATGAGTTTTTAAAGGGAAGATTTTCATGTCCACTTCCTGTTGTGTACAGAGTATAACTGACGGGTTTGTTCACTTACTGTAGTGTATAGAGTATAATTGACAGGTTTGTTCAACACAGGAGGCTGCTGGGATGGGGGAGCGTTGGACGGTATTAGTCCTTGACATCTCTCCATGTCACTGGAGGGCTCACAACAGCTCTTAGGCACCAGACTCCCATCTAAACAATTATCACCAAAATTTCAATCCATTGATGAAATATGATATATTTAAAAAAAAAAAAACATGAACATGTATAGTATAAGTATATTGATTTTTCACGTTAATAATCATTAATTTGTAAATATGTATCCTTATTTCATGTCAGCAAAAAAAAGAGAGAAAGGAACCTCAATCCCATAATATTGATGGTACAAATTATTTCTAAAACAATACTTCTAATATTCAGTAAATCATGGAAAACAATTCGTTGATATTAAATGTAATCCTTTTCTTACTTGAAAACTTGTCTTTGTACCAGTAACTGGAATCTCTATAAGCATACCATGAGGTGGTACTATTCTCATCACCATATGGTCCACAGCACTCAAACTGAAAATAATATCAAATCTAGGAATCTTGTTTTGCTTCTGTCCAAAACAAATATCTCAGAACAAAGTGGTTATATTTTACGACATAATAGAATACTGTGGAATCGAGATAAAATTCTATCAAGAACATGCAGATAAAGACTCAACATCAACCATGTAAATACAGTAAAATTTGTTTAGTGCGAACACGGATATTGCGAATTCACAGACATAGCTAAGTCATCTTGGATCCCTAGATATTTAAATTTAATGAATTTCTTATACGGTTATAGTGAATTACAGATATAGCGAAGTAACTTCATAGGTCCCAGTGACTTCTTTATAATTGAGTTTTGTTGTATTATACATGTAAATATATATATATATATATATTTTTTTTTTACTTTTTTCATCAATGAATTAAGTTTTAAAGTGCATGTTTTAAACTATCAACAACTTACAGATCTTTGAACATTGTCCCAGCTACTTGTGATGGAGGAATGTTTTTTATTCTTTTCTGTGTTCACTCCATATTTATATGTGATAGCCTCAATCATTGACTTCTTGGCGGTATCTTCTAACTGCAACAAATATATTAAAAGATTACAATGAATTCTACAAATAAAAGATCTAATGGCCCTGAGGTTGAATGTTCTATGTTCTGTTTGGCATTTGATGTTATATATATTAATGTCTAACACTTTCTATGTCATTACATTTGCACACAGATATTGTTTTGGAATGATCTCATCAGATGCACTTTATGCATACATACCTCTGATATGAAAATATAACCCAGCACCCCTGCTACCAGTAATGTTATTGAGAGGAAAGCTAGGATTCCAAGGTGCTTGAATAAAAAAATAATATATTTATTTCAATAACTATTAGTCAAGAAAATAACCCCCATCTAAAATAAATGACTTTTTTATCCAACTGTTATCAATGTCAAAACATACATTTGACATGATTAGTCATGAATAAATTGAAAAATGCATATGTTATGTTTAAATAAAAATTAACCAGAATGCATTTGTTACTTACCAGTCCCAGCATGCACTTGTTCTTACAGAGAACCCCACAAAGTCCAAGTGTAGACACCAGTATAGCCCCTGCTCCCGCTGACAGCATCATGAGGGAGTCCACCTGGTACATCCCCTCCCCTAACAGACCTGACACCACCCTACTACCATACTCTGCCTCAAGTGTAAAAATCCCCACAACAAAAGTCGTCAAGGAGGCCACCTACAAATGATAATACATGACATAGTGTACAAATGCCAGCTCGTATAATTCTAAAATAAGGTTATGGATAGAGCATCTTATAAAATATGTTATTTAAACTCTTACTATTCTTCTAATTTCTCGATCAAAAGTTTGAAATACATGAAGTTTCATAGCTGTCTGTCTTAAATTTTCACTATAAAATAAATGTCAGTCTTTAAAAAATTTACAGCACTTGTTTTTAAATTGTATTGTCATTCATTTGTCCATTTCAATACAAACTTGCACAAAAAGTTTTTCAAAGAAACAAAAAATTTAAGGACTTAAGGCCTTCTTCATTGAGGTGATGTAAATCATTTCTTAAAACACCTACCATTACAGCCACCAGCATAAAAACCAAGGCATATCTGGCCACTGACTTCACCGTTAGCCTATGGTGTTTTTCTCGCAGTACCCCCAAGTCATCTTCCGATGTATGGAATGACATGATGGCAGCTGAAAATGCCAAACCTGTTAAACAAAAATTGATAAGATATAATTTCAATTCATTTTTAAACAGGGACAGGCTATGAATAAAAAAGACAATTTTTATTTTGCAAATTCTTCGGTTGTTAAATGGCATAAAAGTCAGTCTTCACGAAAACTTTTCAAACTAACTGGCCAGTCGGACCAGTGAACTTTCAAAATTTACTGGCCGACCAAAATTTTTACTGGCCCCTTAATTATAAAATAAAATACATTTTCATAACTGTAAAGAACTTTGTTCGGTAATAACCAATATTTGCCCCCCAAATCAAACTTTGATGGAGATATATTTATTTAAGTTCTTAAACAGGGGAGCATATGCTGACTTCAAAGCACTGAATATTTTCATAAGTAATGACGCCATATGTACGTAATGACGTCACAAACATGACGTAAATTTAAGTTTTTAATGAATTTTACAGAAAAATGTTCATATTTCGTCGATACTTTGAGTAAAAGTCACCGAGCGCATGTGTGTTCAGGATAAATATTTTGATATAATGTGTAGAATGATAATATCAATGAAATATGTCAAAATTGTTCCTGAACAAACTTGCGCTCTATAAATTTTAAAGCTAAAATTGTTGAAATTTTGTCCATTTTGTCCTCTTTCTGAAAAAGGATATAAAATCGGACTAGTTTGTGGCGTCATAAAAACAAAAATTGTGAATACACTGCTTTGACACTATAATATGTTCTGTTAATTTATATTTCTCATACAATTTATTGAATTCAGCACATTTCAGGAAGTTTTCAAAATTTGACTTTTGTGGGGGCAAATATATGCAATATACCACATATAGTTCTTTATACATGTTTACGTACTTCAACTTTTGAATGCCGCCATTTTTCGTCTTTTGTCGCGTTTCGGTAAGTTGTTCATTGGAAATTTGCACATTTTACGTACTAGTTAATAGTTACCAGCTAGTTCCGGTTATTACGTAATACATCCATGTTATGATAGGGTTACAATAATACGATTCAACAACACGTGCTTGTTCTTTTTATATTATATATCAATGAAATTTATGCAAGTAAGTCAGTTAAGATATATATTGACTGTGTACGATTTTTAGAATCAACAAGCCCATCGGACTTCTTCAATTTTGATTTTCACTGACCCAACATCAAAATTCACTGGCCTCGGTCTTCGGACCAGTGAGTTTTCGTGAAGACTGATAAAAGTAGAAAAAGTGTCATTAAGTAACCACTGTAACCAGGCTACTTTCATTTTTCAACAGTTTTGTACAGTATCCTAATTGTTACCTTATTAGTTAAGGATAAATACAGGGTCTACTCTATGGTATAAAAGTACTACCTTAACGCATAGTACCAATTTCTTGGCACCAACAGCAGAGCACTGTATATCACCCCAACTTATTTTCACAAGTCTTTTCAGCTTGCTTTCTACGATATTTTAACGTAAAGTTTATGCATAATCATATTCACATATACTTGCAAGTGCATCTGTAGATCCTAGGTAGAGAAACTAAATCAACGAATCAATCAATTTGAGAAATAATGAGGCAGGCAGAACCAACCAGACAGCATAAGGTAGTGGAGTAAACAATTGATTAACATATTTCTTGGACGTCCAGTTACATAGATTGTGACTACAATTGAATTCTTACCAAATTATCTCATAAGAAGCAGTAGTTGATCAATAAAGTCACATTCTTGACTACACAAAACACTCCATCTTCTTGCCTTTGCGGATCCAAAGACGCTTTTCCGATTGGGGGCGCTTCTGTCGTTAAGTAACTCTTACCTTGTGTGTTTCGATTTATATCCTCCAAACTTCGAACCCGATGTTTATTGTAAAACGTGGATAAGTTGTTGTTATTGCATTGTGCTGCATTTATGCATAATATGCTCCAAATACATCTCGAAGTTGTTCTTTTAGGTGCCAGATGTTGATATTGTTTGGGTATTTTAAAGCATTTATATTTACTTTGTTTTGAAATCTGAATAATTTAATGAAAAGGTTAAGGATGCTTATATCCATTTATTCTATTGCAGTATCATTATGGACAAGATTAGCAGATTAGCATCCCATGATTTAAAAAAAGTTTACTAACTTTGAATTTATTGTTGGAAATGGGTGAATTATTCCTATCAGAATAGGGAGAGACAGGGGGTATTCATTAAAAGATAACAGGTTCATTTTAAATTTATTATGTAGTGTTTGATGATGATTTCAGTAAAAAAATGTATCATCATGTGAATTTTTATTTTCTTAAGATGGTGTATTACAAGCTTTGTATTAAGTTTCTCCATCGTCTTTCTTTTACAGGTGTATAGATATTTTCCAAGTGACTAAACATGGATCTTGAGACATATTGTAAGAAATTTCAACAAGTTTTAGAATTCCTCCAGACAACAAAGTGCCAGATTCATGACGACACATTATATCAAAAGCTGCTAGATGATTTAAGTGAAAAAGGTGCAAAAATATATTTTACACCTTTCTAATCTATCTCTGTACATGTGCATGCTAAAAGGGAATTGAAGGGAATGGTCTTTTACAATTTTTTTATGAGGTTATTTACATGATTTATGAGATTTCTCTTATTTGACAATAGTCGATGGAACAAATATATTTTTCTTATCTTTGGCTGAGTACATTTTCTCTCATTTTTAATCTGATTGATCATTGATCAATCTCTTCACTATCATTGATCAGTCTTGTTTAAAACCTTCATCTACTACAGATAATGATTTATATTCATTTATTAAAAAACAAACTGGTCATGCCAGCAAGAACAAAACATTGTATTTGGGCAGTTGAATTATCTTTTTAATCTGCTGATAGTGATCGATGTGCATGCGTAAGTAATCTATTATTTAAATATTCATTATATTTTCAAATTTATTGCTAGTGATCAGTGCCGAGTTTGCAGAGGAATGGGGAGTTATGCGCTTTATACAAGGTGTTGGAAAAAACCCTGATGTCAGGCCAGACACTCTGGTTTTTGCTGTACAATTGATAGGGAAGCTGGTTTCTAAGATCAAGTTTTCTGTGGATCATCTGAATATTATATCATCATTGATCGGAACTGTTGTAACAAATAATTGGATGGAGAATCTGTCTGTCTCTTGTGCACTGCTCCAAACAATGACAATCATCCTCCATAATGCCAAGGAGTTCTGTGCAAACATAAGTCTGAATGGTAAGTTAAAATACCGGTAAATGGAATTAGATTCCAAAGTTTGCTCTTTTAAAAGAATAGATAAAGGATAAGGTAGGAGTCAAGAACTATTCCAAATTTTCAGTCAGTTGCTTATTGAAATTATCCATATATCTATGTATCTTAATTCTTTTCGCATTGTCTTGCTCCCTTCTGTAAGAAATCAATGTGATAAAGTAAGTACTTTAATACATATATCCAACAATTTTGTATTTCAGAAATATTTTTGAAGTCATTTGATATACTGAAGGAAGAGAGGAGTATTTTTCTGTCCAGAGCTGCATCAGATTTTATTATTTCTGTGTTTACTAGTGACATGGTCAATTTAGAAGTGGCAAAATGTCTTCTTAAGGAGCTCCAGACCACTATTGTTGACTTGAACAATACAGACTGTCAAAGAGTTCTCTCCCCTTCAGTGATGTGTTCTTTAAGAGTACTTGAGAGAGTGCCGTGTCTTTTTAGTGACTGCTTTGATGAGATTTTAGATCCTTTGATTCTGTTAATGAAGAATGGGAATACACAGGCTGTTACAACTGCCACAAGATGTATTTGTAGATTTTATGAAAGGTAGGAGATCTCTCTGACATATTACATTAGATTTCAGAATGATTAATGATGACTCTAATTTCATCGTATATTTTTCATTTCTTGATAGTGGGAGTGAAGTGGAGGTTGTTGAAGTAAAATCGCAGATATGTCTGGTATTGAAAACACTTGACAGTAGTAGATGTCTTCATATTGCCAAGATTCTTTATCCCATCAAGTAAGTATGATCATTACTCTTACTTAAGCCAATTACTGTAAACCAAGTTATATTCGCGTGCGTGAAATTTTCGCGAAGTTTGCAAGAACCTCGTCATCACGAATATTTCTCGCCGTGAACCGGTCCTTAAAGTGTATATGTCTATTAACAACAAATCAAAAAAGACTTCATCGCGAAAATTAATCGTCGCGAACTAGTTTGTCCCTGAGAAATCGCGAAATAAAGTCGTCGCGAATAAAAGTTGGTTTACAGTATTGATTAAATAAAAATTTACATTATCATATATGAGGCACTATACTTTATTTGTATTGTTCCTCATTCACATAACAGAATGTATTTATTTGAGTTTGATGCTGCAGAAAAAATTTGAGATCATATTAAAATTGATGTTAATATTCTTTGCAGTCTTATAGAAAGAAGAGATTTGGAAGACATAATAGTAAAGCCACTACAGCTAGACAACTTAAAACAATCATCTTCCCCTTGCCTCTCTGCTATATGTCAGAGTCTTACAGTTGTCAATGAATGTAATATACATGTGAGTTTCTTGAACTAGCAGAGCCATTTGTTAATTTAAATTTATCTAGAATTTAAATTAAATTAACACTAAAAATCTAAAGAATCTGAAAAAATTGAACTTTTTAATATATTGTACATGAAGAAGATCTACATGTATATTGCATAATCTTAAAAATTAATGTCCATGATTGTCTCTTGTAGAATCCAGAGATCTGTAACCATGTTTATAAAGTCTTGAGGATGACAGCTGATGGACAAGGGGAGATCACTGATACATTTTTCTCTCAAAATCTATTTTCTTGGAAGACTAAAATACAAATCAAATGCCTAGAATATCTAGAATCTTGTAAGTTGACAGCTCAGCAGTCAGAGCTGGCAAGTACAGTTTTACCTGAGCCATTAAGGCTCAAGTTAGCTTTTCTCATCCAAGTTTCCCATCAAGCGATCAGTCAAGTTTCTTTCTATAATTGCTCCTGCGATAAGTTAAGAGGTACCAAAGGAGGTCAAAGTTTTGCTAAGTTATGTAGAAGTAAAAATCTTTTCAAGAACAAAACACAAACCTGTTTACATGCTACATCTATGCCAATGATTTTCTTTTTTCAGACATCTGTGAGGAGTTGATTCCCTTTGTGTTCTCTGTCATCAGTAACATAACTGCTTCTTCTACAGACCACATAGTAAGTTTTGATCACAGATACGACATTTAACTGCAGTAGAAATTTTTTTTTCTAAAAGCATCCAATAAATTAAATCAGTACATACATGTATTTAAAATGCCCTTTATTATGCTTATCCCCTTTGATCATAGAATTATGATGCTGTGGAATGATTTGATATGCATCGTCACATATTTTTACAGATATACAGGAAATGCCTTGACTGTATATGTATACTGCTGCCTCAAGTATTGTCTAGTTCTAGACATTCCTCAGATGTGTCTACAGTTACTTCAGATCTGTGTAAGATACGGGACTCTGTCCAGAGGAACTTCTGTAGTATGGATTGGGAATTCAGAGATACTAGCTGTGAATTTGTTAAAAAGATTTTCGAACAAGATAAAGGTAATATCACTGTATGTAAAAATTTGATGTGTTATTAACTGTTATGAATGTCAGGCCACAATACCTAAAAAAACATCTTTATCATTGATTTTAGTGTGTTAATGAATTATAGCTAGCCTTGGCCTGTGGCTGCATAGTTTCTCTGTATTAATTCTTTGGTGTGAACATATTTCTACATGGGCCATTGAAAAAAGGTTAAAAGAGATAAATCTGTGTGGAATCTGATTATTCTGGCTTTACTCAAGGTTTCTTGTTCCTTTTATACATATAGAAAATCAGTTCATGATGAGTTGGATACTGGATTCTAGATTCCTAATGTTTGCATATCAAGCTATTAGTGATGGGGAGAGTTATGTAAGAGCTACAGGTCTCAGTACTCTACAGACTGTTCTCAGGTCCACTCACATTACAAGTCTGCTACAGGATATAGGCAGCACAATCGTAAGTGTTTGTTTCTGATGTTTAAAAATGTGCTAATGTGTTTCTTTCATGGGAAGTAATTAAAAGAAAAATTAAGTTTTAAAAACAACTCATGAAAGCAGAGATTTTCAAGTTCATTGTAAATGGGCATTTTTATGGCATGTATAGTTAAACTACTTTGATAAAACTCTATATTTGTTTCAGGATGAGATTATATCTGGGGTGTTAGATGTCTGTAACACTGACAGTGAGGCCTTTCCTAGGAGGGATGCAGTGACCCTCCTAACAAACTGCTGGGGGACCCTCATAGAACAGTTACAACCAGATACCATACAAAACATCACCCAGAGTTTCTCTTTGTCATTACCTTCTGACTTTGACTGGGAGGTCAAGCTAAAAGTGGTAGATTTCTGGTGTATGAACTTGAAAAGTTACTTTGCAACAGACATAGCAACTTCAAAGCGGTCAGTGGTGTTTTCAAGATGCTTGAAATGTGGGCAGGGATTAAAGAAAGGTCCCCTCTCTCTTGCCACTGCTGTTGATGTACTCCTGAAGCTTTCTTGTGACTATGATCCTAGTGTGAGTAAGAGAGCTCACCAGGAACTAAAATGGATTGGTGAACACTTGGATGGAATTATTGTTTGTGAAAATCCCCCAATAAATGGACATGGGGATAGAGGTGGCATTTGGGGCTCTTGCTGTAGCAGTGTGGTTCGAGAAATCTACGTTAAAATTAAAGAACAGAAAGAAAAGCATGACATGGGATCAAAATTTATCACTGAATATGACTGTAATTCCCTGTCTTTGCTGGATGATATTTTGTCTTTGGACAAAGGTCAGGAAGAAGAGGATGAAGACAATGTCATTGACTGTTATTAAGATTATTACTCTGAAATCAATATTTGAAATAAAATCAGGATTCCATGATTTTCTGTGCACAATATACACTTTAACAAGCTAATTCAATGTGTATTTAGCTCACCTGAGCCAAGGCTGAAGTGAGCTTAAAGCTTTTCTGATCACATTTTGTCTGACATGCGATCTGTCTATCCATCTGTAAATTTTCACTGTTCATTTATCATTATCCTGGCTTTTCAAATTTAACTTAAAATCCTTTCTTTTTTTTATTTTAATCTTGGCTTTTCCATCTTTGTACAGCTTTATGCATAATGTTCAGTGACATTGTAATAAATGAAATTATGATGATGGAAGGAGTTGTTTCATTGTGTTTCCATTTATAGAATTGATTCATTTAGTTCTATTACTGTAAACCAACTTTTATTCGCGTGCGAGAAATTTTCGCGAGGTTCGCGAGAGCCTCGTCATCGCGAATTTTTCTCGCCGCGAACGGGTCCTTCGAGTGTCTTTTACTATTAAAAACAGTTTAAAACAGGCTTGATCGCGAAAATTAATCGTAGCGAACTAGTTTACTCCCGGTAAATCGCGAAAATAAGTCGTCGCGAATAAAAGTTGGTTTACAGTATATTTGTAGCATTAAGTGTTGATTCATTATATATAGTACCAAACCCTAATAATAGTCTCATGTGCTTAAGCTTACTCTTTCAATACAAAACAAAATAAAAGTTAGGTTGAAATTCTGTACGAATTTGTATGAGTTATTCTCTATATAATTATTTAAGATGGACCAAGAAATATTTTAAGAGTTTTTTATTAAAAGTTGGAAGTTTTATGTACATGTAAGGTCATAGGGAAGGTCAAGGTAAAAAAGAATGACACAGAATAATTGCTCACCTATCTATTTCAGTGTATTAATTTTGCATTAATAAAGTCACAGGTGCGTGAGGGCAGGACACCCCCCCCCCCCCCCCCCCCTTCGATATAGATCCCTGGACCTTTTCAACTTTTTTCTCATAAATTTTCTTTCATTGACATATTTGTGATAACATCTATACCAACAATTTGAAAAATTACATAAAACAAACATTTTATAAGATCTACCCTACATTCTATATATAAATCAACTTTTTGATTTATATATATAGAGTGGGGTAGAAATTCTTATAAAATGTTAGTTTAAGAATTTTTTCTCAATTGATAGGACAGATTAAATCACAAATGTGTCATCTATATATTATTCTTGTAATAAAGTTGGTAATAAAGTAAAAGAGCAGAAGAGAATTCAAAATCAACTTTAAGGTTGGAAAGTCATACATGTATTTTTAAAGCTGAAACTTTAAGCAAAGATTTCTAACTTTAAAGTTGGATTTACCAACTTAAAAGTTTTTTGTTTCAGTGAAATGTTTTATTAAAATGGTTCTGAATTAATTTTTTTTTAAATTCTATCAGCATGACCAAATTATGAAATATATTCTGAAAATGAGAAAAATGGGGAGAAAGGGGGGGGGTAAATAAGCCCATTTTAATTTAAAATTAACATTTTTTTTAGTAATACATTTATTAAAAGACCCCCCCCCTACATTTGATTTTCTTTAACTGAACATGTAAGATAACTTGGAACAAACTGGCAAAAGTTTTATTAAGACTTTAAATAATTATCTGCTTGTTAACTTTTTTAATTCCAAGAAATTTACATTTATAAGTATAGAAATATCAAATATTGTTTATGCAAAACAATTTGAAATCTGAATTTTGGTGATACGAGTAAACTCTGTATGACTTGATTAATTCCGAACATCCCGCAAAATACCATGTGAAGAAAGTTTTGCCTATTTTATTAAAATATATTACACTTTTCAAAAAATAACCACGGAAAAAACGGATAGAAGATAACTCTCATGTAAGTAAATCGTATGAAATATTATCAGATTTTTCCCAATGTCCTATTTGTATGTAAACACGATTAATGTGACTGAGTAGGCTTGCATTGTCATCATGTGTAAATTATGGGTATAAACCGTAAGGGTTGCAACCAGTATAGGAGTTGGGTTTTGATAAATAAAAGCTAGAGAAAACATATCGTGTGTGGAAGGATATATCAGCTTCCCTTAAGTATCTTTGTTATATATGCATGCTTGTCATCTTTCAATCATGTCGAAAATAAGTCCAACTTTTTTTAAATATCAAAAGGCTTTTAATTGATTAATAATTAACTACGGTAATTTAATTGTAGAGAATGGCATATGAGGTCAACAAGTTAAGAGAGTTGTCTTGTACCTTGGGAGATTTATCTCGTCCCGATGGAGACTCTACATTTTCTCTGGGAGATACCTGTGTTACTACAGCTGTGTATGGACCCGGAGAGGTCAAGATGACTAAAGAACTTCTAGACAAAGCCACAATAGAAGTTGTATACAAACCTAAATCAGGACTGCCAGGCTGTGCAGAAAAGTTATTGGAGAGGACAATCAGGAACTCATGTGAAACTGTCATTCTGGGAAACCTGCATCCTCGGTCAATGATTTCTATTACTGTACAAGAGATCCAAAACCGTGGCTCTTTGTTTGCATGTTGTATAAACAGTACCTGCATGGCCCTGTTAGACGCAGGTGTTAGTATGAGATATCTTATGGCAGCAGTTACTTGTGCAATAAATGACAAAGGTGACACAGTCATGGACCCTGACACTTTACAAGAACAGAGTGCAGTTGCTGTGTTGACATTTGTATTTGAAAATTGTGATTATGGAATAGTTACAGTAAATGCAAAAGGTAGCTACACACTTGATCAGTTTCAGCAATGTTTGTCAAAATGTAAAGAAGCAAGTAAATCTGTGTTCCAGTTTTTCAAAGATTCTTTGTGTAAAAAGTTATCTAAAAATGATTAATGCAATAAATGTAAAAAAAAAAAAATGGCTTCACTAGTGTCATCATGGTCATGTTTATGTAATTCTTGCATTGGATAGGATGTGCTTGATAAATTTTCTCTTGAAATGATGAGATAAACTTTTAAAAATCACAATAATCTGTGGCCTTAAAAAGTGCCCATTTAATTTGAGGTCAAGGTCATGAATTATTTATTCTGTCTGATTAAAAAGTCTGAACTTTTGCAGTGATATCACAATTGTTTATGGGCAACAGATAACCCCCATTAAATTTCAGGTAAAGAGGTCTCAAAGTCATAAATTCATAAAATGCCTTTGGAGCCTTTTCAATAAAATGTTAAAGTCCAATAAGTGAAAGAAGACTCATTTTGAATCTTAAGTCTAAAGCAGTAAAGGTTGTGGTAAAAAAAATCATATCCTGCATAAATGATTGCCTGGTGAAAACTCTTATTCTTTTTGAGGTTTTGCAAAAATATGCTTGACAAGAAAAAGTTCATTGAAAGAGAGCCCCCCTTTGTTTGTTGCAGTGCAGTCAAATCAGTGTTATATGGTATTGGTACATATATGAATAAAATTTGAATTTGAAATAAATTGAAACCTAGTCCCTCCCTCTCAAAATACATATGTAGTATGTTCGAGTGTGAATAACTATCCTTCTTTAATTTTTTTTCTCTCTGTCTGCCCCCCCCCCCCCCCCTTAAAAAAAAAGCATTACGTCCCTGTAATGCTTGGAAGCGAGGTCTGATTGGAAATCAGAACAACATTAACTTGCGCTTACTGATAAAAAGAAAGAAATACTTCGTGGGTACGCAGTTTAAATGGTGTTCCAAATCAAATGTGAACGTAAGTACTGTGTCACCCTTCATATTGCCAAGATATACATATACGTGAAAAAGATTTATTGGAACTGATATAACGAAAGACAGCATGATAGTATTTATTGAGATTCATAATAAACAATCAATACGACTGAGAGCCAGCTATTATGTAGTTTTATATGTTTAATATAAGCTCAGTTAATTGTCATGTCAAAGGTTTAATTTAAATTGCATAACCAATAAAATACACTTCCAAAGTAAATACATGTACGTAAATGGAATATATATTCTGTATTAGATATTTCCATATAAGTATTTTTATATTTCAATTGTTACCCTTTCAACGTGAAAATATCTTCATAAAGAAACTTTGAGCACTATTGTACAGGCAAACATTGTGTCATAACGGCAGACAAGATGTATTTGTGAAACACCGATGGCCCTGTATGACAGCTAATGCCGATGGTTAAAATTTCTTCACTCCAAAACAAATGCCAGTGTCAAGGTGGCCAAGAAAATTAAAAAAAATAATGGTCCTAAAGTCTAAAGAAAGGATTAAATATGTGACGAAAGCCGTAACCCTAAGTCCCTTTAAAAGTTAGTGTCAAGGTATGTTTTTAAAAAGTAGATCAAGGTCAAAGGGTCAAAGTTCTTGGTATCGACCGAGGTTACAAAGTTTTTTAAAAGTATACGTATGAAAATCTCCAAGTTCAAGGTCAAAAGGTCAAAGTTGTTGGTATCTTATGAAAGGTCTTGTCAAAAAGAATACATATGTTAAGTATGAAAGTCATAGTATCTACCGTTCAAAAGTTATGATCAAAGTAAAAGTTTGGAATTTTGTGTAAAAGTGTGTTAAACTCCAAGGTCAAGGTCAAATTTGGTGGTACTCAAAGAAATTAAGGTATTGTCACAAGGAATACACATTTGAAATATAAGTCATAGCTGCACTAAATCAAGAGTAAAGGGCAAGGTTAAAGTTTTTGCGGACAAAAAGACAAGACAGAGAGACGGACACGACAAAAACTATATACCCCGAATCTTCGATTACGGGGGAATAAAAAGATACAGAACACCGGCCTATCTATATCAACTTCTTATATCTTTAATTAATATAATCTACCTTCCTTATTGTCACTGAAAAAAGAAAGCATAGAAGCAATCTGACTAAGGGTACCAGTGGAAGCAGATCGCCGAAAGTTCGTTGCGGCTGGGGGAGGGGCCGTCGGCACATCCGGGGGAGGTACGGAGGGTCTGTCCAGACGAGGGTGCCTCATCGTCACCGACCGCTGCAAGGTCTGACATTTCCTGAGTTGTTGCGGAGCAGGTTTGTCAGTCTCTACTGGCGACCGCTGCAAGGTCTGACATTTCCTGAGTTGTCGCGAAGCAGGTTTGTCAGTCTCTACTGGCGAAACTCTCATCTGCGTGGACCAAGTCTGCTTTCAAAACATTACTTCACTTGAGTCAATAAAACTAGGTATATAATGAGATTTTTTTAATCATCGATTTCATTTTTACATTGTTAATGCTACAATTTTACAATCATTGGAGATTTTTAAATAAATCCATGTCAATTGAAAGTGAGTTACCTTTATGCTTTAAATAGTAAACACTATAAAAGAAACTACATGTATTTAATTATGAAACATTATATATATTTTTAGAGTCTGTAATATTCTGTTACTGAGAGAA